CCTACTAAGCGTAGGGGTAGCAAGGATATATATAATGCTATCCTTATTATAGTAGATCGATTTACTAAAGGCGCTCGATACATCCTAGCGCGCAAGGATTAGACTACTATTAATATAGCAGAGGCGCTGTAGACTAACATCTTCTATACCTATTAGGGAACCCCTAAGGGGATCGTGTCCGATCGTAGATCGATACTAATATCTTACTATTAGAGCGAGATTTGCTTGTAGCTAAGACTAAAGCATCGGCTATTAATAGCCTTCTATCTATAGACTAACGGTTAAATAGAGAGGCAGAATGCTACCCTATAGTAGTACCTACGCAGTTATATTAATAAGAACCCCGAGGACTAGATTAACCTCCTATAACTAGCTGAATTCGTATATAACAACAGTGTCTACTTATCGACTAAGGTGTTACTATATATAGCTATAATAGGCCAGAATGCTACTATACTATAAGACCTACTATCGCTCGAGGCCGAGCGTAAGGAAAGGGAAGCGCGTTAAGTACTAGAGACATTAGTAGCTATTAAGAGGGTTTAAAAGATGCGAGAAATTCACGCTAAGATAGCTAACAAACTAGCAAAGGCCTAGGCCTATTAGAAGGCCTACTATAACAAATACTATACGCTAATAACCTTTAAGCAAGGCGATATAGTTATGCTAAGTACGAAGAACCTCTGTATCCGTAAACACCTATCACCTAATAGCAAAACAAGGCCTAAGCTCGCACTAAGATACATTAGCCTATTCCGCATTCGAGAAGTTAAGGGCTCCTCCGTATAGGCCTATTAGTTATAGCTTCTACCTTATTATACTATCTATAATACCTTCTACGTATCCCTCCTTAAACTATACTACTAGCGCGAAGGCGATAAAGCGCCTGCTAAGTTAGAAGAAGTCTTAGCTAATAGTAAAGAGCTGTAGTCTATAGAACGTATTCTAAAGTACTAGACTAGGCAAGGCAAGAAGGAGTACCTATTAAGATAGCAAGGCTATTTACCTAAATAGGACTTATAGGAAGCTAAAGGTTCCTTTAAGGATATAACTAAGTTGTTAGATAAGTATTAGACTAGTATAAAGAACAAGAAGAAGGCTAAGGGCCTATAATGTCGCCTAGGAATAATACTACCCCCGGGGTGCTATTAGCTAACTAATTAGAGACAAGCAATTGTTAGTAATAAAGGACAATAAGACTATACTAGGCGCGCTACGACGCGTTAATTAATTAATCGTATGCTCTTTTAAGGGCTCTACCTCTTTACTAATGCGCCCTATAAGGCCCTTCTCCTAGTATTTAAGTCCCCCTCTTGTTCCTTTATTCTATTAAGATCTAAGGCCTAGGCGGTCGATAGAGGCGGCGCGCGCGCGTAGGTAAATAGTGTTAGTAATAATAGTAGTAACGACGGCGTTACGCTTGCGCTAGGGGGCGATACGGCCGGCGCGGCTATATTAGTAACGGTATTACGGAGTGTGTTATTAGTCGACGAAGGAAATCGAAAGCAAGGTAAAGTTAGCGCTAAGACGACTAGCGCCGCTATTATTAACATTACTTGCTATTGCTACTATACCTGCGGATACAACCTTACCTATACTACGAGCCTAAGGCACCTTTAATTAAAACTTTGATTAAAACTTTAAGCCGCCTAAAAGATTAAGCGACTAATAGACTAACTAAGGGCAAAACTATAGAGCTAAGCTAGCTGGGGTCGATCTTGCGGACAATAGGTTACTCCTCGATCTATCTAACTCTTTAAGCGAGGCGAACCTCTACTACTACACTTATAATAGCCTTTATCTATAGAAACTAGAAGAACTAAGTTTTTAAAAAGATATAATTAGTTAACACTTAAAGGCTGCTAAACCTAACTAATTAGGGCTAGTAAAACTACGATAGTAAATAATAGCCCTCGTAATAATAAAAACAACCCTCGGAACAGACAAACCCTCGGAAGCGGATATTACTAGGTCTTTTAAGAGTAGACGCAAAGAACTCGGTATAATATTACTTAGAACGGAGGCAGGGCTATAATACCTCGTACGTCTACCTATTATAGTAGGGAAGACGCGCTCGTATTATAATTAGTCGAAGGCCTCTAATTCTTATAGATACATATCACTTTATAGTTTATTATATATAGAGATAGCGTAGTTAGAGTTGCATATTATATTATTTAGAGGTAAGGTTTGATATAGTTACATAATCGGTAGTTGCGTATTTAATTTAGCGCGGATTAAGCAGCTTATTAGACCTGCTAAGTTAGTAGCGATAGAGATTGGAATAAGACCGGCTATAAAGGCGCGGCCTTTAGAAGGGAAGCGTATATTAGGGCTAAAGAGGCTATACGTAATTGGTATATAACTAGGCCGAGTAAAGCTAGGGTCTTAATACCTTAGGTAGGGCTTAGCGCTTAGCGTTAGGCTAACTCTCCTACCTTCCTCCCTCTCCTCCTAGATCCTTATCGAATACTATACTAATTCACTACTACCCTATCTACCTGCTAATATAACCCTTCTTATATTAATCCGTTTATTTAAAATCTAGTCGAGAAAGCTTATATTAGCGGCTTTGTATACTTCTTTAGATACGGAATTAGTCGTAGTAGAATATACCTCCGATTTATAGTATATCTACGTCTCTATAGAGGCTATAATCTTAACTTCGACTCGCTAAAGATAGATAATATAGCGGCACCGGAATAGCTTTATTAGCTCTGTTTTTTCTAAAGAAGAAGAAGTAGGTATTACTAGACGCTACGAGAGGCTCCGAGACCTAGCGTTTAGTCGTTAAGTTAGCTTATACTGCTAAATAGCAGCGTTGCGTATAGCGTTAGCCGACTTAGGTAGAGAGGGGAACGCATTATAGCCTCGTGCTATACTCGTAACTATACTCGTAGCTACCGTAGCAGCTGCTACTAATAGCTCGCGTACAAATCGCTTAGTTAGTAGATTAGGGTTCTTAAGGCCGCATTATAAACAGTATGCGTATAATTGAAACATTACTATATACTTAACGCCTAAGACAGAGCAAAAGGTACCCTATTTAGCAGATATTGTTATATTGTTAGTATAGAAATAGGTATAGAATAGAGGTAGAAATAGGTATAGAATAGAGATAGAACTAGCTAGGGAAAGGACGAAATAGAACTAGAATAATCGACTCGCTATATACTCGCGGCCGGCTCGTAGATTGCCGATTAAACTACATTATTTTCAAACTCAATTAATCTAGTATCGGGGTTTGCAAGCGCCTCTTAGTGCCGAGCCGTTGCTAACGTCTAATTACGAGCTACTAATAGCTTGTCTAATTCTACTAGTTCCGGCTCTTCCCCTATAGCTATATACTCTGTAACTAGCCGTCGAAGAAGTAAGTATATAGAGCGGTAAACGCGCTCTCTATCGCTATTATTCTCGCTGCTACTAACTAGATACGAGAAGTTATAAGCCTACAATGCTACCTAACACTAAGTAAGCGTAACCTCGGGTAGGTAGGCTTTAAGATCTAGGAGCAAGTATATTAGCGAGTCTGCGGCGAGTCTATAGCGAGTCTAGAACTAATATATACCGAATTCTTAAAGGTCTTGCTCGATATTATTAAGTACGCCGTCTAGTATAGGAATACCTTAATAAGAATGCCCGCTAAGCTCTAGATAATAGTATAGAATATACGGAATGCCTAATACAATATATAGTCGCCTAGCCTGCTTCTAAATACGATAGCTATTCTAGAGGTAAACAAACTCGAGGACTTTATTACGCATAATTAGTATATAGATCGTAAGGAAGGCAATCCGGTCGGATAACAAATTAGTATCGTATAGTAACTCGCGTAGTAACTCGTAGAAATAGCCCCTCTAGCTATCTATAGCGGGTGCTTGCTGCCGCTACTATAACTTAATCCGCTAGTTTATCTTGCTAGTACCGTATTTAAAGCAATCCTAGAAGGTAGGTAGCGGTTCCTCCGATTCCGCCTTAGTACGAGTCGTAAGGCGAGTCCTATAGTAAGCGTCCGCGGCTAGAATCGTCTCCGCTCTACGGTCTAATCGGATAATCTATAGTATTATACTACTATTCTTAATAGTTGTAACGTACTAAGCGAGTATAGAGACAGCTATCCGGCTAGTAATGCCTATATAAATCTAGACAATGTAACGCGAGTAGATATTAATAGCTGTATATATCTGTATGCCCTAATACTCGAATTTATAGCGAGTATCTATTAATATTGCGTATCTAGGGCCTAGTGTCCGAACTATACTATAGTGCTCTCGTGCCCGCTCGCGGCGGACTCGTAGGCCTTTAGGATTTAGTAAGCAAGCTATACGATACAGCCTGTCTCTGCTAACGATATTGTATTTAGACCTAATATAGGTATATAGGTGCCTTCGGCTAAAAGACTCTACTAGAGACTTATTAAGCTCTTCTCGTAAAACCTCCGCTATCTCCTCTTCTGCCCGTACTTATAAATACCGGTCTATTAACTTCTTTAATCTAAGCTCTTAACGTATCCGTTAATATCTCCGCTAGCTAATATTAAATCTATCCGCTTATAGTATTTTAACCGCCTCTTTATTAGTTAACCGTAGAACGTAGAAGGTATAGGCGACTCGAATCTTAAGTTGCTCGATATCGTTAACTCGCTAGTTAGTATAACGGTTATACTAGATATTCTACTCCTAGAGCCTTCGTATAAGCGTACGCATAGATATCTAATAACCGGTCTCCTATAGAAGGTATTATAGGATTGCTTCCTTCGTAGTGCCCCTCTCGACTTAAGAGATTAACTAGGCCCTCTATAGCTCTAAATTAACACGTAGAGCCATTATACGAGTCAATAGCGAGTATAGTGCGAGTCCTTAAGGTTAAACATAAAGAATTAGGTGGTGGAGGCGGTGAGAACAGCCTACCCTGGTTTGGCTTCTTGGTATCTACGGGCCTCCGTAGCAAGGGAGCAAGGTAGCACTTGGCATCTTTGCTTGCGACGATGAGTGTTTGCTCGACTGAACACACTGAAACGACTGAGTCAAGCGTTGCAAGCAAACCATGCACACGACCCAATTTTTCTTTCAACTGTGAGAACAGACCACATGGCGACCAGCACTGATCGGCACGATGAACCTCACCATGATGCTCCTCGACCTCGACCTCCTCTCCAGCAGCCTCAACGATCACATTCCGCCACCTATGGACTGCTGTCGACCCTGTCCTACTTCACCGAACCTGTGCGATATACCACCTCCGCCCTCATACGCCGACTGTCCGAGGACGAAGCTCCTACACCTTTAGCCAAGGCTCTCAGCGCTAACTACAACGGCTCAATGACCGATCCCACACTGGGTGTCTACCACCCGCCACAGGCACCTATGCGAAAACGCTCGCCATTCCAGCCTCCTCCACTTACACCTCTGACGCTCACGGGATACAAAACTGGCACAGCAAGCAAGGCGAAACTGCTTAGGAAAGCTGTCGCCGAGGAGATTAGACTGTTGATACCTCCACGACTCCAGCTCGTGGACCATTGGAAGCTCGCCTACTCTTTGGAACAGAATGGTAGCACACTGTCAACACTCTATGGCCTCTGCGATCAGTATCGGGGCAAGCGCGGTGGGTTCGTGGTGGTGGTAAAGGATGCGGCAGGCGGTGTCTTCGGTGCATACCTCTCTGATGCTCCCAAGCCTCAGTCACATTACTTCGGGAACGGAGAATGTTTTCTGTGGCGAGCGTTCGTTTTGCCAGGGCTACCAGACCTTTTGGACTTACCACCACCACCAAGCGCAGACACCACCCACGCTTACCGTATGACCACGATCGGAGTGACCAGGAGTCCTTCCGCAACTTCGTTGGCATCACTGGATGTGCCAAGTACCAATGGGCACGCGAACGGCGCGGCTACTCCAGAGCGCATACGTTTCAAGGCGTTCCCGTACACGGGAGAGAACGACTTCATGATCTACTGTGCACACGACTACTTGAGCGTGGGTGGTGGTGATGGACACTACGGGTTATGGCTTGGTCAAGGCCTGGGCAATGGCGTGAGCGAAATGTGTCCAACATATGGGAACGAGGCGCTTAGTGAAGAGGGGTCAAAGTTCGATGTCATGGGTGTGGAAGTGTGGTATGTGGGATCATGATACCATCTCGACAGCACTCTGCCTTTCGGTGGTCAGAGGATAGAGAAAAGTGTGGCATGGCGAAGGCGTTGGAGATAAGGCTGGCGTTATTGATAATACGATACCCGGATCCTTTCAATGCGATCAATATTGAATAACAAGCGAATTCAGTCATAGCACTGCCATGCTGAATAGGCGGAGTCGATTACTGACTTGGGCAGGAATATGGGCTGCAATTGGAATGAAGAAGGTCGGTGAGCAGACCGGCTGAATGTTCGAACGGAGCAAGAAGGTGTCCTCGAGATTGGTACGCGATCGTCGCCAGCGAGCTTAGTCTGAGGCTAGCAAAGGAGCTGAGAGATCCAAGTAAGGCTGCGGGCGTGGTGACGATAATGATGGTGGGCATAGCCTTGATTCTTGGACGACGATTTTGTGGCTGAACCCCAGCGCAATGCAGAAAGTTTGGTAAGGCTGCGGGCTGACATGCATTCGAGATCGTGCGGCCTCGCCTTCTACACCATCTTCCACGCGTGACGGTATACACGATAGGCGAGGGCGCAGCATGCGAGATGAAGGTCGACATGGTGGTGGCATTGGCATTGCAGAACCCGTCTGCATTCTTCAGTCCCGGATCTGGTCGCAAGTCGTTGCCCTAATCAATTGTATTGCTGTCTCGAAAACCCGCTGATCACGTGCTCAAGATCCTTGCTGTTCAAGTCCTCCTCGACCTCGACACCGCGTATCGCTTTCTCACTACATGTGAAATGCATTGGCGAGGACTCGCAGATGAAGAATTTCCGCCCGTAGTCCGAACCAGCAGGCGCGAGCACTGAAAGTCCATACACAAAAGAGAAACATCTCCGTTCCACTGCCTATCTTGCAACCATTTCGATCCAGCCGTGACCGCAGCAAGCTATAACAGCTATCCAGAGCGTCTTCCGCTAAGCAGGAAACAGGGTGGCAACCTTGGCAGCTTCATACGCGTCTACATGTAGTGACTGAAACATACGCACTCAGCAAACGGCTCCAGCATTCGCACACCATGGAGCCTCTCTTCAGATGTTCAGCAGCCAGCATAATGCAAACCGTGGCAGCAGATCCAACAGGCGGACGTCTTGGATACGCGGCACAGTACAGAGCTCGCGCGGACCTGTGCTCTCACTACGAACGATACCCTCAGTCCGATATCCAGAGGTGGATCCTGCCGGAATTGATTGTGTAGGTTATACTCCCGGTCGTGGTGATTTCGGCAGCGGTAAGCGTGTCTGTATGCTGGAAACTTGAAATGCGGGACGATGTTGCATTGTGGCGTCTTTCTGCCTTTGTCCGCACTACGCTTCTTGCCCACCAAAGGAAAATCTCGAGTCAGCTCGAGCACCAACTGGCGGCATGCTCTCGCGTGGAGTAACGCACTGTGCTATATCGAGACGCACGACCCTACACGTCTCTGTACTGCTCACCTATAAGCTCCTTCGCAGGTCAAAGATTGTTACATGCGCGGCTTATAGCTTCCAGACCTGATCGGCAGCCCTACACGACCAGGAAGATTAATCCGTAGCTCCCTCAGTTGTGCACGAGCGCTTGCTGTGCCCTTGAATGTCGCTCCGGGTATCAGCCGTGTGGCCAGGCTTCGACGACGCCTTCACTAAGCCTCGCGGGTGTGAATATGGATGACTCGCACATGTTGTCGCAACGAGGACATGGGCCACGAGACCGCCACATTGAAATACACCGCTGTCAACAGCCTGTCTCCAAGGATAGATCGCTAAAGGTCAGCGCGGCCTCAATAATATTCAAGCACAAAGGTAGGCGAGCTTACATTCCTGACAGGCATACAGTACCTTAAACTTCGCTACATAATCCGCACCGACCCTGTGCTTTCTCATTGCGCCATCACATTTCAGATCTCAGGGTTTGCAAGGCGCCATGGCGAACGATCACCGGAACTCTACTGCCTTTATTGGTACGCCAACCGAACGTTTGATAGATGAGCGCGATCCCAGGAGTCCAATTGAGGACAGCATGGATCTTCTCCGTGTGCTTGAATATCCGCAGATGCTCGGGAAAACATATCTGGATCATGCAGGAACTACGGTACGTAACACAAATCGATATGTGGGCATCGTGCTGACGTTGGTCTCAGCCATGGGCAAAGAGTCTCATCAACGCATATGCCGCTAGCATGACTGACACTTTATATGGCAATCCTCACTCGGAGCACAAACCTTCAAGAGATGCAGACGCTCGTGTTGAGCGTACTCGCCGGAAAGCGCTGGAGTTCTTCAACGCTGATCCAGACGATTTCGACTTGATCTTCACGCCTAACGCGACTGGTGCTATCAAGCTTGTACATGACTGCTTTCGTGATTATTCATCTGATCCAGATGGCAGAAGTTGGTGGTATGGATACCACAAAGACTCTCATACGTCTATTGTCGGCGTCCGCGAAGGAACAGAAAATCATAGATGCTTTCGTAACGATCGAGAGGTCGATCTCTGGATCGAATCTCGCGGCCTGGGCGCAGCAGCGGCACACGAAGTCGGCTTGTTTGCATATCCAGGACAATCAAACATGACCGGACGAAGATTTCCTTTAGACTGGCCAGTCCGCATTCGCAACCGCGTCAAAGCTGAAGTATACACTCTCCTCGACGCAGCGGCGCTGGCATCGACAGCTCAAATCGACCTTTCAGATGCTACCAGAGCCCCAGATCTCATCGCCGTATCCTTCTACAAGATCTTCGGCATGCCGAATCTCGGCGCCCTCCTCGTCCGCAAATCCTCCCCCGTCGTCGAAATCCTCAAACGTCGAAGATTCTTCGGCGGCGGCACCGTCGACATGGTAATAGCCGTCAACGACGCCTGGGTCGACCGCAAAGATAACCTCCACAGCAGATTAGAAGACGGAACCTTGCCCTTCACCTCCATCTTCGCCCTAGAGATCGCAATCGAAATCCACGAAAACCTCTACGGCCCTGCCCCAATGACTTTCATATCAAGCCACACATCCCACCTCATAAACCTCCTCTACGATTCCCTCACCTCCCTCCACCACTCCAACGGCGTGTCCGTCGTGAGAATCTATAAAGACCCAACGTCAATCTTCGGAGACGCACGTCTTCAAGGCGCGACTATAGCGTTCAATATCCAGAAATTTTCCGGGGGGCTTGTCAGTTATATGGAAGTGGAGAAAGAAGCTAATGAGCAAGATATTTATGTGCGGAGTGGAAGTCTCTGCAATCCGGGGGGATTTGCGACGTTTTTGAAATTTTCGCCGAGCGAGTTGAAGGAGGCGAGGCTTTGGGGTCATAAGTGTTCGGAGCCCGAGGCGGAGTTTAAGGGGAAGGCTCTCGGGGTTGTGAGGGTGAGTTTGGGGGCTATGTCGAATGAGGCCGATTTGGAGAGGTTTGTGGGGTTTTTGAGGGGGACTTATGTTGATCGGGTGTATGAGGGTGGGGGACAGATTACGGAAGTTGGAGTTGGATCGGAGTCGTCTAAGAACCGGGGGAGAGATGTTACTGCTGCTGTGTTTAAGGTGTCTTCTGGGGTGGAAGATCGAGCGGTCTCGAGAGAGGGGAAGTTCGTGAAAGGTGGGCGTTTACCTCCTTCGTCGGGTGTGAGAGAGGACTCGGTTAGTGTTGATGAGAGGAGCGTGGAGGAGAAGAGCTTGGGGGTGGTGAAGAATAGTGGGAGTAGGATTCGGAGGATGAAGAAGAGTATTATGGGTGTTTTAAGGGCACGCTAGGTGGCATGCGCTATACATGGGAATTTGGAGCACGCAAGGCTTACGAATTTGATGAATGATAGATAGATGGAGCTTGGGTCGAGTTGTAGATAATGGGCGACATGGCATCGTTTGAGCGTTTTCTGGGAAGCGCCTTGCGTCTCAAATATAAAGCTGTGTCTTGATGAAGATGGCGAGCCGCACCGAAGGCTCTTCCTGATATGAGCTTGTACCATCTCAGTGAGTGCCAGAGTGCTGCGGACGGTTAAAGTGTCTGCGCGACCGGTCAGCCAACTACCTTGATGCGATCATCGAAATTGATCCGCCTTCAGCGTGAGCCTGGAGCGTGACCTTGTGCAATGCTTGATGGTTGCACAGCGTGCAGATCCGATAACTCATTATCCCTCTCTTCACACGGCCATGTCCTGGCGAAAGTTTGGGTAGATCGGACATGCGGTGATTCATGTGCTCAAAGGAATGCCCGTACTTTTACCCCAATGATGATGAGAGCCTTTCTCGGGAGCAGGTAGCTAAATCAAGGGAGAGGAAGGAAGGCAAGACTGAGATTGGAAGCAGAATGGAAATGGGGAACTTTGGCGAGCACGACGTAGGATCGCAAGTATGCAGAGAGACGTCGCAAACCGGAGGGCGAGGAGTGAGGTTTTTCGAGCATCGCCAGCATAGACTTTGCTGATCTTGAATTTTCTCGCTACGGCATGAGGTGGTGGCCTGGCCTGAGCTTTTGTATGCCTCCTCAATCCTGCACCTCTTTCAACCAGCTTATGCAGCAATGGTAACCTCGACCTCAACACCAGCCTCGATGTTGATGATGATCTGCTTGACGACCTCGGTTGGGGCGTTCAAGTCGATCAGACGCTTGTGGATGCTATAACAAGATCATCAGTCCCGTATCCCAAGACGCCGCTCCCTCTTTCCAGGTTGAAATATTTATACTCACCGCATCTCGTACATGTCCCAAGTCTTAGAACCCTCACCACAAGGAGTCTTGCGGGTAGAGATCTTGAGGTTCTTGGTTGGCATGCGAACTGGGCCCTTGACGCGCAACTCCTTGCTCTTGGCACGCTCGATCAGCTCGGTGCAGACCTTCTCGAGGGCCTGGACCTTGCGGGAAGTGAGGGTGATTCGGATCTTGTGGATCTTTGGCTGGTCGAGCTGGGAGGTCTTCTTTGCGTCCTGGAAAGACATGTTGGCGGTGGTTTTTGGGGGTTTTTTGCGTGAGGATGTAGGTTTTGGTAGGGGCGGAGTTCGACCACGACTGTGGTATTGTTAGAATCGCGGGGATCTATACTGTGAGTCTGGGTATGACTTACCTCGGTGTAGACACGCGGCAAAGTGATGATCGATAGAGAGCAAAGAAAGTGTCTCCAGAATTCGCGACGTTCGAAATGGATGTGGGCTTTGCGGGACAGCCGAAGTGCAGCCGCTTGCCGGACTCCGAAAGTTAGACACAAACGGAAGGACGATGTCTCTACAATTCGACTGCACCTCGTCATTGTGAGCCATTCAATTTTCTTTCGATAATACGAGTGCAAGGTCTTGGTGCATATGCGTGGCAGTCGCACACACAACACTGACACTAGCGATGTCGTTGCCATTTGCTCCAATACCGCCAGCGACTGTTCGATTGAGCCTTGGCCCAGAAGAATGGGAAGCTTGCCTGGATGCATGGCTTACACTGTCCGACGCCCTGCTGAGCCTCTCTCGCGATCAATTCCGCCTTCAGTCGAGCGAAAAAGGCTCATTACCTGCCTTCTTGGCTTCATTCTATCATGAGCTTGACAGAGTTCAGCCCGAGGATCACACGCTCGGCACTCCAAAAGCTCTCTCTCTCAGGAAAGCTTGTTTCAAACTGATTGCACGCATACTCAGCGGTGATGCACCGATACCTGTCTCTTCACTTGACTGGGGCTTCCTCTCGAGCTTTTGTCATGCTCACATGAAAAGCGTAGCTGCGTCTCAGCTGCTTTCGAGGGTATGGAAGAAGAAGTCCGAACTTTTGATACCGAACTTGCAGAAACAGAAAGACGCCATCACTCAGGCTCTTGATTCGAAAAACGTAGATCCTGCTATACCGCTTCTCACAAGACTGGCTCCTGTGATCTATCTATCACCCGACATCGGAGCTTTTTTCCTTACTGGATCCGACTTCCTGGATTCTTTGGTAGCAGCATACAGTCGTACTGTAGCAGACCACCAGAAGAAAGCTATATCGACAGTGGTATATCTGGGACTAGTTTCCTGGGTCAAGTCTGACTCGCCCAACAACTCGATTCTGTACGATCATCTCTACACCTTGAAGTCCCAAGGCCAAAGGTCGCCGCCAGATCAATCGGTAATTGCAGATGTCGTTACCAACACTTCGCTTTTGGCGAAGACTCGCCACTCCCTGGGGAACAAAGCCCCGGAAAGATTGGTCAAGCTGCTTGATACTCTTGAAACGTGTCGCACGCCCAGTATCGCCCGCGCAAAGAAGCGCAATCACCGCAGTCGAAGCAGAGCGAAGGGCAAACAACCTGTCTCCAAGTCTGAACTTCACGTGCATCAACTGAGTCTGGTCACTCAAGTCCAGGATCTGTTTCCAGACTTGGGCTCCGCCTTTGTGCTGAAGCTTCTTGGTGAGTACAACGACGATGTCGAACAGGTGACAGCACATCTACTGGACGATTCTCTGCCTCCACATCTGGCCTCACTCGATCGGACCGAGCAAGCGCCTATCTTCGACACCAGTGTGCAGGCCGAGATAGACAATCTCGCTCCAAAATCAACGCCATCGCTGGCTTCTGAATCCTTCATTCCCGAGAGACGCAATGTATTCGATGATGACGAGCTTGACCGGCTTGACTTCGACACCAGTCGTTTACACATCGGCAAGCGAAGCAAGAGTACTGCCAGCTCGGACCAGCCGAACAAAGCCGCAATATTGTCTGCGCTGGCCGCATTTGACAGCGATGACGATGAACGCGATGACACATACGATGGAGAAGACGTAGGCGGCACCATTGACTCCGCAAACCCAGATGGGGAGCCAGGTCCTGCTGCCAAGGTGACTCAGGAAGAGAACGATATGGCACTGTTCACTGCATACAAGTCGGCGCCGGAGATTTTTGGCCGGACCTTTGATGTACGCAGGAGCCAAGCACGAGCTGCACTGAAATCAGAAACAGGCATGTCAGATGAGCAGATCGAAGGTTGGGCAGTCATGCTACAGCGTGATCCGAAACGCTTGAAACGATTGGAAGCACAAGCTGGTAACAGCTTTGCGGGACAACAGCCAGAGCTGGCACGCACATCATACCGTGAGAGCCCTGGCAACACCGAGACCGAAGACTCTGATGCTGCACAAGGTGGTAGAGGTGGCTTCCGTGGTCGAGGTCGTGGGCGTGGAAGAGGTGGTGGAGGGCGCGGCGGCGGGAATGTTGCTGGCCCGTCAAGTGATCCGAACACAGCTCAAGCTCAGCGCAGGAAGGAGGCGAGCAAGAGCAGCAGGGCGAATCATAACCGCCGACAACAGCGGGCGAAGAAGATGGCCAGAGGCGGATTTCCCGGTTGAGTAAAACTTAAAATTCGTGTCTGGCGTCTACAGTTATGAGAAGAATTATTTGCCCGTCGATAGCGAAAACTCATGAATGCCGCCTAGCTCTTCCTTCCCCAGTATGTGACATTCTTCAAGCCACAAACGGAGCCACGCATTTTACTGCGATGAGGTGGGTCAGCGCTCTGTGGTGCTTGTGTCTAGAAGACTAACTATTGCTCAAGGATCGATATGAGAAGAACAGCAGAGGAAAGATATGTGTATGTCCTCAATTATGTGAAAATGTGAGACACTGACATGGTAAAGTGGATCGATAAAGGTCTGTAATGTTGGTGTTTCGGGATCAATTCTTCCCGCTAATTCTAATCGCCCATAGTCACGAACAACGTGATGGACAATCGTGAGGACTGCGACTATAAGACTTTGGCCAACACATACAACCCTTTAAAGGCAATCGGGGAGTATCATCCGTCTCAGATCACCATTTGTCCTTGGTTCTTTCAGTGGGCTCATCGAGAGCAATACCATGTATGTCTCTCGAGATTTTACTGAGACTGCAGTGCGGACTGACGATGTCCTTTCGTCCAATGGCGTACTGCCTGTCAAGTCTTGGCTTCCTTCGACTATCTGCAAGATCTCGACATCACTCTAGCGCTCTGGCCACTTTATCCTGGGACCGGTGACTACAGTGTCAGTGACGACGTAGTAGTTGCAATACTCGAGCTCCTCAAGCCGGTCCATGCTGTAAGGTTCACCGTAACCTTGACGAACGACTTCTCCGATGGCGCACAAGAGCGGCTTGGCTCTTTGCCATCCAGTATTCACCGACGTGAGAGGCGAGGAATTGGGTTCTATTTCCACGAGTGAGATGATTGAGGCCGATTCTTCGTTTGCCTGCATATGTCAGTCAAGCGTGACGGCAGTGTTTGCAACGTGCACTATGCCATGCAATCTGGGAGGCAAACCTGGTGCGATCGATCTGGCGAATTTGGACATGACACTCTACTGATAGCGAGCTTTCCCTCATTTGCAGACTGCGGCCATTTTCTACAATGTGTCGCACTGAGATCATCACTTATTATTGCGCCTCACCAAAATGTGCTTCGCCAGACGAACCATACGAAGAGCTCATCTCGTACAAGATATGCGTACCCACCCATTATGACCACGAGGACTACCATATCGACAGGCTGAATCAAGATGCCGCGACGATCAGGGATGCGGAGAGGAGCACTGTGCGTAAAGGCTCATGTCTTCGTTGCGAAGAAGACCAGAGCCAAGACCCTGCGAGATACCTGTCTTGGATCCGAAATCCAGCTTCGACAACCACAAACCAGAGCACCGTCGCTGGCAACGTGGTCAGCTTCAACGATGTCGATCCTTTGCAACGGCAAGATCTGTGCAGAAAGCTGGTAGCAATTGAGCCACCCCTCCCCTCAACGGCGTGTCCTTGGCTTTGCGCACGACTGGAACTTTCTCAAGACGTTTGCACGCTTGCCACACAAATTCTCGACGCTGTTGATCGCAGCAACTTCGATGGGCGGCATCAGGATCCAGCGCTTCTCGGTGCCGGCGTCTTCATGGCTGCATATCTTTTGGGCGAGAGAAAGCTCAAGGCGAAGGAGGTCAAGAGATGCATGAAAGGTAGTCACAGAGATCAAATCGAGGCTGCTTATTCGTTGCTGCATGGGAAGTGGGATACAATCTTGAGAAGTCAGGTTGGAGGAGGTTTGAGGTATCGGATTGATGATGGCAGGCTGCCAAAGCCGGTCAGGGGAGACTGGGCGCCCAGAGATCACTGGATGATGTGACAGGCTGGATATCATCCGTTGTGTATGAAGTATGATATACTTAAGGAGTTAATCTGCTTTTTGTGATGCCGTCACGCCTCGGCTGTCTCGTGTCTCTCGATACAACGGTGTCCCTTGAAGTTTCGAGGTAGTAGATTGAGAGTGCGAGTCTGGTCGGACAGTGACACAGCTGCAGTCAACGGAGAATTCTGATCTGATGAAGGCGAATGTAGTCGGGCAGTGGCTTCGATTGGGCACTAAGTTTCTGCTCCCCTCGCTGTCTTGCACAAGCAATCCAATTATTGAGCGCTTAGGATAACAAATTCGCGATGATTGTCAGAGGGTGAAGAATGTATTGCTCATCAGGCCAAGATGAAGTTGCTGCTCGGTGAAAGTACTGCCAAGACTTGGCCGGAGCGAGCCGAACGTCGTAGCAACGCCAGAAAAGGAAGTTTGTTTTGATCAGTCCATTCGCAAACGCGAACTTAGCGACACGACCATCGGCATAGTATTATGGCTAGGCGCAGAATATTGGAGGACAGCGAAGAGGAACACAGGCCCTCGCAGAGCCCAGTACCGTCTTGGCCGACAGACACGAGCAGGCCAGCCCGGAACATACGAACCACGACATTGAGACGTGCCAAGCTTGAGGACTCTGATGTTGCAGCAGCAGACACAGAATCCAATGGCAGCGAGAAGGAGAAGACAAGAGATGCGCCAAAGTCCAAGTCTCAGATCCGGCTGGCTCCTCTGAAGTCTCTGGAACATCGTCACACCTTGACCATCCAAGATGACACGCCTGCGCGATCTCGAAAACGTGGACCGTTAAGACCCTCGACAACCACGTCTGAGAAGATAGTATTGCCTAAGCAGAAATCCAGACGAGCCCTTACGCCGGAGATTCCCTCCAGCATACCCTCCGACCAAGAGGTGGACGATGACAATGCGGAGCAGCAGTCTCAGACCGAGGATATTGATTTTGAGGAGAGCATATGGTGTGGGTCCGATGGAGACGCTCCTGCTTCAGACGAGGATCTTCCAAGTCCGAGCACATTCTTTCCAGCTGTGCGGAAGAGGGAAGATCAATGTGATATCTCGCGCGATGTGGCAGCGCTTCAAATTTTCGATGATGAAGTCCCACCTCCTTTCAAGCCGCTGAGCATCGACTTCACACGAAAGCCTTCGAGAATAGTCCATTCCTCTGACAAGGAAAACCAGAGCGCCCTGGATCACCCCTCTTCCCCAGGGTACAAGTACCCGCAGTCTTCTAAGAAGATATTGGAGCGGCCTACGACTCCTCCGCCCGCAACAGAATCTCCGGGGAAGCTCAAATCGCCATCAAAGCTGCAGTCTCCATCCAAAAGAGCACCACGAGTTCCAACACCACCACTGCGACCGAGTCTTGATGCGTTCTGGACAGCGGAAGCGGTGAATGATTGGAACGACCAGTACTCGCCTCAGAAGCCGCTGAAGTCGCCCCGCAAGCTCTTTTCAACGCAGCCACCCGCCCTCGATAGAGATGGATCGTTTCCCAAAGTTTCACCTTGCAAGCTACCCCAAAGCCCATCGAAGCGCACAAAGGCTGAAGTGCAAGCTCGAAAAGATTGGGACATCCGAAAGCATAGTCTGGCCTCAAGTTTCCTCGCTGAGCTAGATCAGACAATCACAGGCGGCAAGGTGTCAGACCTGAGTGATAGTACAGGGGGCGTACAACTCGTATGGTCCAAGACGCTCAACTCGACAGCCGGGCGGGCAAATTGGCGCCGCGAGACGACAAGATCGCACTCGAAAGAGGACCCCACAAAACTGATTGCGGTTCATAAGCACTTTGCCTCAATCGAACTCGCTGAGAAAGTTCTGACCTACTCCGAAGAAGCCGAGACCAAGCTCATCAACGTGATTGCGCATGAGTTCTGTCACCTCTGCAATTTCATGATCTCTGGAGTCAAAGACCAGCCTCATGGTGCGAGCTTCAAGCAATGGGGCGCCAAATGCTCGAGAGCGTTCGCGGATCGGGGTATCAATGTGACGACCAAGCACAGCTATGAGATTGAATATAAGTATATTTGGCGTTGCGAAGATGAGGAATGCGGTATGGAGTTCAAGCGCCATTCGAAGAGCATTGATCCGAAGCGACATAGATGTGGCCAGTGTCGAGCCAACCTTTTGCAGATCAAACCAGTCCCTCGAGGAGGAGCGAAGGCGGGTAGTCAGAACTCTGGCAAGGCGACTCCAATCAATGGCATGTCCGGCATACCGCCCAAGGCTACTCCAGTCACTGGATATGCTGCTTATGTGAAGGAGCATTTCGCGAATCTGAAGAAGAGCATGCCTGGATCAAGTCATAAGCAGGTTATGGAAGCGCTTGGAAAGCAGTATCGCGATGAGAAAGCAGCGAAGGCTACTGGTGCTGTTGATATTGATGATGTGGCGAAGAAGCTCGGGAGTGTTCGCTTAGATGAGCAAGAGGTCATCGACTTGGATTGATGACTCGAATGATTCTTGCTGTAGCTGAATATGCCACGGCGCTCCTTGCAAGCTGGTCGATAGCGGGAGATATAGACCTCTCGTATGGTGGGCGGGCGTCGCTCGCTCAAGCCTCCTGGACAAACAACCCCCAGTCTTTGATCTCAAAACTCTCCAAAACCTTTTCCTTGACCAATTTTCCAGCCTCGAGCAGATTCCCATACTTGCCAGCAGCAGGATCTACATCCTCCTTGACGTAACTTCCGGGCAAATGCGGAACATTAATCGCAATGACAATGTCCGTCTTCTGCTGCTGGAGTCTCACAACTATCAACAGAACTCCCACAAAATCGGGCTCATTTGGTCTCCCGCGCTGCTTTTCTCCAGGAGGTGATGTAGCGAGGAGAGTCATGGCTGTTGTAGTCGGCATTTTAGACAAAAAGGCGGAACCCGTGCTATGGAGTGTTGTCTGGCCTGCATCTTCGTCTACGATGTCAGACAGATGGTATCTGAGTCAGTCAGTCAGTCAGTCAGCATGCGGATATGCGAGATGGCGTGGGGAAAGGAATAGGAACTTTACTTTAATGCTTCAATATCATTGTTCTTCTCCACTCGCTCTAGGATGTCGAATACTATGCTTGAGAACCCTTCTTTGTCGAGGTAGACTTCTTGGTTGTCGGGTACTTGGCGAATTTGGCTGTGAGACTGATTAGGACATGAGTTTCACGGGCTGATCACGCTTTTCAGTCTTACGATACGTCTTCGAATGTCGCAGGGATGTCGGCGATGATGGCGCCGCCGAAGAGCTCGACGGTTTTGAATTGATTGGCAGCCATTCTCAAGCTGGCGGTCTGAAGTTGCGATTGTAATCTGGGATGAATGTTTGCTTGATGGGGTGATTGTCAAATACGTGTTTCTTGATGACTTTTATGAGTCGTGCTTAAGGTAGGCAACGCCAGGCACCGAATTAGGCAGGAGCGAAAGACTGCTGCCTGGTAAGTAAGTGAACAACGACTCCACATGTGCACACACGCGGCAGCAAAGAAATTACAAAACAATAAAATTCGTGAAATATGAAAATTTCGTGTGTCGTCTCATTTCTGCAGAAAGCAACCTCGCATGGAGTGCGTATGGAGAAGTTGTGGCCTGGAAATTCAGGCAGAAACTTTTCGCCTACCTCACTACTCACGATCGCTTCCCTTATCCCTTTCCATCGCCATGCATGCAAACTTCCATCCGTCTAGCGCCTCAGCTGGAGTCTATAATCTTCAGCATGTAATCAACACGACTGGACTACCTCAGCCAGCATTCTGCTCTGCGAAGATCTTGCAGTCACTGTCCGCGACTCCGTCTGGACTCTTGACCTACAGCATGGTCAGCTCTGGCTTGTGAATCATAGATCGACGACTTACTTCAGCTTCGGAATTTTGTGGTGCGGGATCTGCTTCTGGTGTGATGTCGACTCACTCGAGCATGCGTGGAAGAGCACGCCAATCAATGGACCAGCAGACAGATGAGATCCAAGTGATGCAGTCCTTCTCCAGGAGACGTTTGCCGGCTTCTTTCTCTTCTTCCTCGTCAGCATCTGGATCGTGCGAGGCGCGCACATCCGTGAGCTTGGCGCGATGCTCATCGGAGAGCGACGCAATCCACTTGTCGATGTTGGAAGCTGTGCCGAAGAATGTGTTCTTGTAGTAATCCTCGAGGTACTTCTTGCGAGTGGCGCGAGAGACTTGCGCGATTGAGGGTAGCTGATACTTCTTGGTGATGGTGACTGGATCTTCTGGCGCGGCAAAGGTGTAATCATAGATCATGTCGTGCAGCTCTTGTGCGAGCGGTGCGATCAGCTCGCCGAGACTCTTTTTGGTCTTGTCCAAAGCCATGATAATTTGACGTGGTTGGGGTGTACGGTGTGTAGGACCTCGAAGCGATTAACATGGTTTGACCAGGTCAAGTAGAACCCTTAAATAGTGCAGGCGGAAGCAACTTTCAGTCTTTCACGTGTTAAGTGAAGGCGGCGAAGTATAAATATAGGCTTGTAACGTAGCATATATGTATTTGGAAGTATACAACTGAGAGACGGCTATTTGGCCGGCTCAGATTCTTACGTCCATCTCATTTATCAAATTTCTTGTGCTGCAGGCTGGTCGCGATGTCAGTGTTTACAATCCCGTTGTAGGGATCGCTGTTGTGACGAAGCCAATTGAGGAATATTTGATGCTTGCTGCCGTCTTCCGGTTCCTTTAATGCCGCAATAAATGGAAGACTCACAGGTATCTCGGCTCTCATCAACTCGTCTGCATGTTTCTCTAGCTGAGGGCTAATGACCGCTTCTATGTCGAGCTTTGGTGGTGGATCAGGCTGATCTTGTCTCATGATGTAAGCTTCTTCTGCACTTTCAAGCTTGATGAAAGTCGCAGCGTCGGGCGGAATGTGAAATGTCTGATGTAAGCGCCAATGTGTTTGCTGCACTCCCTAGATAAAGCATTGGCCGATCGTTCGAGAAGGCCCAGTAGAGCATGTGAGAATTGTCAATGTCTCGAAGAGTCTCACGATAGGCGCATTGTGCAAAGCTATGGAGTCATGACTTCCATATGTTATCAATGGAGCCCGACGGACAGTATAGGAGGCCTCAATGACACACTTTGGGCCCTGGGCTACTTGAGTCGTTCAGAGACATGACCTGGGCAGAGGTATTTCTCAATAAAATGCTCTCGAACACGAAATGACAACGTCTCCGTCTATGCAAGACCTGCCCAGCGGTAACTGCTATCAGATAAGAGCAGCAGGCTGACATCATTGCAAGATGTATTGGCACGGCTGATCCTTCTCTTGTCCGAAGGTCTGCTGGGATGGGCATGCTTGTTCGCGGAAAAGAACGTATCGTGATCCCAATGGTGTCAATGGCCAGGTCGCGTATTCGAAATGAAAGGACACGAAGAAGCTATCCACGATGAGGCAGTATGCCAATACTGAAAGCCCTGTTCGAGCATCTTGGCAGCTCAATCCACTCTTGGTACGGAGAAGAAGAGGTGATCTCCGTCCAGGCCCCCAGGCAGCAAGGCTTGGCTGGAACTGAAGAATTTTCTACACCAAAATGCCACTCTAACTATACAGTCGCCAAGCGTCTGAACGGCGGTAGATGTGATGCTTCAAGGGCGACGGATGTGTGTGGATGTTTTTGGAGACTGGACAAACTCCAAAAATCACTGTTCCCTATCTTGCGTCCCTTTGGATGCTGGCAAAGAAGCGCTTCTCGTGGCACTCGAGACACTGACGTCGCGACGCGCGTACTCCGCCGTGGCGAGCTACACCGCGTCGATTTCATCATGCTGAAGCGTGGGGGATGAGATGCTGCAGATGCAGGAGGTACAGTAAGCAGCTCCTGCCAAGCGTCACAAGCCTTTTCTCCTTTGTCGATACACCGCTATCTTGGTTCAGTGCTGATAGCAGATCTGAGGACTTCCCCTGTAACCTACTAATGCACAGTCGGGTGGCCTTCCGCCTCCGCTGCCGGATCTGCTGCATTTTCGGGAATTTGCTGAACCATCATCCATCCCAAGGACTGGGGCTGTTCAATTAAGTTGACAGCTAGGTGGCAAGCGGTGTCAGAGAGTACTCTTGGCATGCCATACCAAGCAGAGTGATCAGCAGTATTCTATTATGCCAAGAGTCGGGTCTTTTCGGGCCTGGTGATTTCGAACCAAGTTGTCACGTCTGGTCACATTATTGCAAGGAACACGCGAAGAGCACGTTGCAACCTGGAAGAGCATCAGGGGCCGACACGCGTAGCATGGAACCTGCGAAGAATTACTATCGCCGTTGGATGCTCACCCGCCCGGGCGAAGCAAAACTTGTCGATGATGAGTCGCTTACTTATTCTACGATTCGAGGAGAGCGATAGAATATGAGAGCAAAGCTGTGGTCGCCTCAGAAATTTGCATTTGGCAGGCCCAACTATCTCTACATAGACATCGCGATCGTAGCGGGATGCCGATCGAACGTTCTCTCCCAAACGCCATATCCGTTGTCGTCAAGTCATCAAAAGTACGCCAGCACCAAGTGTGGTGCAGCTTGTGGTATCCTCCCAATGTCTATCTCTATTCCACACTGCGCCATCACTCCGATCCCAAAGACTCCACGCTGTTGTTGCAATCATACATGTACCTCCTCCTTGACAGGATTTTCGTACGTAGACACCATGGAAGAAGCACGGCTCTGCTGAGTCGAAGCCTTCGCTCTTTTGTCGAAAAAATGCCATATCGATGGCCATCCCCTCCTCCCGGCTTGTAGGTTCAAGACACCCATGGCCATGCAGGATGCGCTCAAAAACAGGCAGACTCCGCTCCAGCACTGGACGCTCAGGAACGTCGAGTATTCAGTGACTAGATGGCCAGCAATGACCGGTCCTGTCAAGGCGAAAACCGCAGAGCACGAATACATCATGCCAGTCCACTGACCGAGCTTCTTTTGGTTTTGCTTGTTGAATTTTCCAAGAATGTCGGCCACGGATGCTGGTGGAAGCCCAATGACTGCTCCAGAGAACGCTCCAAAGAGGATCACAAATGCGATCGCCGATTTGAGGGTGCTTGCCGTCGTCCACAGTGTCAGTATCAGCACTGAGGCGACGAAGGTGACGACAGCGTGTACATTTAGAGCGCCAAAATGATCGCAGAGATAGGCCGATCCAATGCGTCCGAGAGTTGAGGTTGCGTTCATCATAGCTAGCAGCCAGAAGGTCTCTAGAGCGTCATCCGGGTTCTTGTGTGGTAAGCCTGCGTTGACTCCGACTACGTTCGCTCTCCGGTATCCAAATCCTTCAGAGACGGCCCACTCTTCGAGGCTGAAGAACACAGCATAGAACCCGAAGAAGAGGAAAGAGATGGCTGCACAGAGCCATACAAACGGGCCGTTGCGGAACGCACTACTGTCAATGAAAGTATCCACCCTGCGAAAGCTCTTGGTGTTGTCGAATTCGTGGGCGGGATTTGGACGTGCGGCGAAAATGGCGATTATGCAAGTTCCGCAAATGACGCCGGCCACACCTCTAACAGCGTTGTTGAAGCCCACATCGTGGAGGAGGAATCTAGTCATCATGGGATAAAGAAGACCGGAGATACTGGCACCAGATGCCACAATGCCGATGGCGGTACCTTTCTTGGCTATGAACCAAGTGGACACGACTGATAACAAATTAGCACACCCTCATCTCATGCTCTCCCTCGAAATGTGAACGAGGAGCATACCTTGGGAAGAGCTGACGAAGAAGCAGGCCATGCCCAGTCCAGAGATGAGTCCTTGTGTCAGCCAAATGAGACCATAATTTCCATGATCGTATCCTCCATCTCCGTTGACGACAGAAAGTGTAAAGAAGCCGATGGAAACGAAGATGGTGCCAGTAATGAGCAAGTACCGAATGTGGCCGGCATCTAGGAAGCGTCCGACCGGGGCGGAGAGCGCGAGCACGACGAAAGATTGCGTTGAACCTATCATGCTCAGTAGTAGGAGATCTCGTCCGGGTAGAAGACTCTGCATGTAGTATGAAGAGAACGTTCCGTAGCTGTTGACCAAGCCCCACGAGTTGAACATGAGTAAGAAGCCGCCGAACAAGCAGACATATGCCCTCCAATCTCGAGGCCAACCTTTGTTTTGTTGTTCGTACACCTCTTCGTGGTTGACAACTGAGCTATCTCCAGGGGCGTCAGGGACGTCTCTTCGTACTGGTCCATTGGGCGTTTCGATTTCAATGGGTCTGCGATTTGTTGAAAAGCAGCTCAATGAACGTGAGGGGGAGTCGTCCTTCTTCTCGTCATCCAACCGTGAGTCGACAGAGACTGTCCGCTCCGGTTGAAGTGCCAGCTCAAGGGCATCGCGGACCTGGCTTTTTGATTGCGTTTGGTCCATCGAATCGGACTTGTCTGATGTGGAGCGAGAGTCAAAGAGAGATGATTCGCTCTTTTTACCCTTAGGGGCGTTGTTGCTACCTGTCATGATAGGCAAATAGCTTCTATGAGGGGTGGTCGAAAAGGTGGGAGGAAGAAGGTGAAGCGATGGATCAAACAAACTTACCGATGGCTGAAGGCTTATATAGATCCCAGATGGGGATTCCGCGCCGCCAGCGCCATGCCATGCTCGATCGACTTTGTGCACCATGAACTTTCCACGAAGAGGGACCCACTATGGAGGAGTGCGCACCGTACAACACCCAGATAACAGCGGTTACACTAACCCCAAGACAGAGAGAATGGAAGCCCACCGAACCCAAATTCCGTCGCAGGCCGCATCAGTCGAGCCCTGTACTAGCATCTGCCTGCCTGCGTGCGCACGCAGTGGATCGCCAAGAGGCGAAGTGAGACGTTGTCGGAAGCAAACAGCAGCCGTGCGATTTGGTCATTATTGTCCCGTTCAGTGTCATGAATGATGACCAGCCACCAGCCAAGCAGAGAGCAACGAAGTGGTGCGTTGAGTGTCCGATATGTCATTCGCCAAGGGCTTGGACGTAGTTGCGTCTTGTGCGAACAAGCTTCGGATTCCGGGCGATTGGTGTTGTGTTCCTCGCACAGGGTGGTGATGGTTCTGTGTGGTGGTGCTTCAGTTCCAGGCTGCAAGTTGCCAAGGGAGGCCAACTGCCGGACCTCTTGCAGTTCACTGTTGGCATTTTGGCTGCTTTTGGTTCCAGAAAGAAGGCGAGGGATGGGAGGGATGCGGGATCAACCGTCAACGACCCATGTCTTGGAGAACGGTAGGCCGTCTGGCGACAGGATGTCCATGGGGGACGAGAGCATCGCACGCCCAGCAGCGACGGAGAGGTAAGATCAAGCGTTGAGGATCTCTGACGCCCGAACAAAGTTCCGCTGGAACGCCCAGGCGAGCGGGCCAAGGCCAGGCCAAGCCAAGCCTTCCAGCTCCGCCGACTCAGCGTCAAAGGGGGAGAGGCCCAGAGGTGTCGGAAGTTTAGTAATTGATGACTATTGCACTACTGCTTTAACGATCACCGCGGGCCAAGGCCCAGGCCAAGCTTCCTGCTCCGCGCTGGAGGAACATCAAGGGAGAGGGGCGGGGCGGGGCGGGGCGGGGGAGGGAGGGAGGGAGGGTCCCGTCGTCTGCATTCCCATGTCAGGTCCTTGCAGCGATGAATGATGTGATTGATTGAGTTGGAGGTGAAAGCACGTGTGTATCGCGATACGACGCCTCTCACTTGACACCGAGTGAATGAAGAAGTCTGGGCTGTCGCAATCTCGACGTCTCTGTGCACTGCACTGCACACCCCCGTGGCTTCTTCTTGCACGGGGATGCAGGACGTCACGTCGTCAGAAGCACCGCAAGCTTTCACCACCCTGCACATCTCCCGGCCCATTCTTCACCAAGCCACTCGGCCTCCGACGTTGGCGCTTCCGCCAAGTTCCGACCAAGTCCTGGGCTTCCCCGATCGTTATAGTACAAGGAAGACGCGGTGGAGCTTGACATTCTTGCCCAGTCCACCGCTGCTTCGGAGTACGTCGTCTGCCTCCCCTTCCAGCATCCTGCAGTCACGTAGCCCGTCTCGGCTTCTCTCTATTCACTCCACGAGCGTGACATCCGGGGAAACAAGACTAGGCCGGCAAGGGGCAGAACCATCTTGTCTATTCTACTGCAGCATGGAGTGACGACGCTCGACGGAACAGATAATAAGGTGCCGTGTCGGCATATACAGGAAGTGGTGTGCTGCTGTCGGGCATGCCGGACCTGAGTCAAGCATTCGCTCATACCTAGTGCTGGACGACAGAACGGAAGCTGCAACGGCTCAAGCTCCGCGAGACTCGCAACATGACTTTTGGATAGCCGCGCTTTTGTATGCCGTTGCGTGTATACTGTTGTTGACCAGATGCACGGTCACACATCGCTTGTCACGCCGCGGGCACTGCTTGTTGGGCTACGATCCATTTCAACAAGCTACTAGAACTTTTTGTGGATATGTCTTTTGCTCGTCATGTCTGGAAAAGTGCATGACTTCGAAGAACACATGTCCACTGTGCAGACGCGAGCAATATCAGCGTGTTCAGGAGCAGGAGCAAGACGAGGATGATGAAGATTGGACCGATGACGAACGCGTCTTATTTGCCTTTGTGAACGAAATCCATGCCTTCGCCTTGGACTGGAGCGGAGAATGTTAAATAAATGGCGAGGATGAAGGAGCTGATGAGCATTATGACGACTTCAACGAGAGCGCTGAGGATGAAGACGCCCGTGAAGACGAGGAAAATCGTTCGGGCGAGGGTGACGATGTGGTGGAGGACAATCGAGACAACACCGAACTCCTGGACGCATGAATGGCGACGCTCACCCATAGGGACATTCGATACTTGCAGCTGCATCTCGCTGTAATGGAGCAAAGCTAGTCCTTCTGAACGCAGGATGCGTGGACAACGTCGAAATCGACAATGCCTTCGTGTAATGGCTGGGAAAGCATTGTTATGGGATACAATCCATTCTCTCAATCTGCCTATCGAGAGTGCACACCGCTGAAGATATAAATCCTTGCACCTTCGCGTTCGAGTTTCGGATCTTCTTCCTACACAGCATAGAAACACATTCAGTTACATCGATTGATTACATCCAAGTCATCAGTCGACCTTTGTTACAACCAAATCTTCAAGCAACGCAACATCCCAGCACTCACACCGACCCAACTAACAGTATGGCCGCTGACCTTCCCCCCAAGGAGGTTTTCCTCACGCTAATCACCCTGAACATCGACCCTCACTATCATGATGAGTGCCCGGTGTGCATGGAAGACACAAAGCAGGCGACAAGCACCGCATGCAATCACACTTTCTGCTGGGAATGCATAGGCGGCTGGGCCCAGACGCACGATACATGTCCTATGTGTCGGGCGAAGCTCTGGCAAGACCATAACGTCCCAATTGCTCCTCTTCCCGCCCAAGCACCGGCACCGGTCCCAGCTCCAGCTGCAATAGTCGCTCCCGCACCAGAGCCTGCTCCTGCACCAGCTGTAATAGTTGCTCCCGCACCACCGCCCCCTCCTGCCGCCCAGCACGAAGTCATCGTCATAGACGATGATGAAGATGAGCTGTGGCCAGAAGACGAAGATCCACACGACGACGATCCGAATGATGGCGACTACATTCCCTAAGGTAAACTAGCATGCGGGCCATGCTAGATTTCATCTCGTCGGGGAATAGCCAAGGACCGCGACTGCAAGATATCCTGGGATAAGGATTCTCTCGTGGCATCGTCTATCGTCATGGCATTATTCCTTCAAATTTTCGTACAGTGAGAGAGAGGTGGAGTACTAACTTTCCCGATACGTAAGCGAGCTAACCTAACATTTTCTGCGCATTTACTTACTTCTTCCTTCTTTCCATCTCATTTTCATGTACTTACTATACATCTAGTAGAATAAGGACACGTGATTAGAGCAGCATAAGGCTGAATGTTGGCCTTATTACAGTATCATGGCCGAAATCGAGCCCCCTTTGTCTCTTCGCACAGCGGATAGATAAGTTTATGTTCGATTGAACTTTACGAGAACATATTGAGGTCCACAACTCAAGACTCCATACACACTGGACGGTCTCGCGGTCAAACTCAGATGCTAACAAGTCCCGGAACACATCAGATGAAGTCTTTTGGTGCAGCTCTCCTCAGCAAACCACACATTCGCGAAATCCTACCATGGTCTTTGCTCCCAACTACTCTGTCACCAGCGCGGGGTACATTAGGCATCGATCCATCATCGTAACACAGTTGAGAACCTTGACATACAAAGAGAGCTCTTGGGGGCCACGTACATTCCATTTGTCATTTCTCAGTCGTGTTCGACGTGATCATAGAGTATCCTTCATGATGCCATCGAATTCTCGTGCTAGCTCATCAAAGAATTGAGTCGTGCGACCTGAGCCTCCGTGCCTAGAATACAGTTGCACGACCTGAGATCTTAGTCGTCTTCGTCCATCGCACATGGCCGAAACGTACAACCTTGTTGCTCCTCTTTGTGCAACGTTTTTACGCCCAGAACGCCAATGCTCTAGTATGCATCACCGCAAACACCTGCGCTTTTCCATCGCTTCCATGCATCATGTGCTGCCGTGCACCCTGCCGCGGGCTAGACATTCTTGTCCTACTTAGAGGCAACAGCAGCAGCCAGAACCTGAGTTCTGAAGAACCCGCCCTTTGTCCTCTCGATCACCTGCTGGTATACGCTGACTGGTGGGTGGTTCATGATGACAGTGCCAGCCTTGTAGTCGATCTTGGCATCAACGCGGGTGTCACGGATGAGGTTAACGATCCATTTCTCACCCTCGTCATGCGAGAGACCAAGGCGAGTCGAGAGGTCCTTGATGTCGATTCTCTGGTGAATTTTGCAGTATGATTCCGAGATTAGGTGTCGTGCGGCGTCCAGGAAGGCGTCAGCGGTTGCAAGCAGGAAGAAGTCAGCGCGGAGGATTTGATTGGCCTGATTCAGTCTCTTTTGCGCTTCCTCAAAGTCGAAGTCAATGAAGAGTGCCTTGACAAAGCTTGTGACTGGATCGTTGTACTCGTATTGCTCTTGCCTCACGATTCGGATGAGGTCCTTGAGCTGCTTCTGGTAGTTGCCGTATAGGAAGTTGCCTTTACTTCCCGGGCGGTTGCGGTTCGTGACAACTGCTGCTGATAGATAGCGCAGAATCCAAGGGCACGACGTCTGGATTGTGTTGATGTAGGCTGGGGAGAAAAATAATTCGGTCAAAGCCTCACGGGCTGGGTCGTGGTTGAAGAATGGAAACAGCGACCAGTGGATCAGCCACGTTCGGTGCTCGAGCTGTGCTAGTGCATTGTTGAAGAGGCGCGTGTCGATGCTCTCCTTGATCTTCATGACCTCCTCCATCGCGGCTTCCCAGTTGGTGCTCAGGATGTCACATGCCAGCTTTCCCCATGTCGCCGCATTCACCTTGTCGTTATCAGTGGACAGAATGCGGAACTGGTACAGCGAGTCTGCAGCAGGCTCGTACTCGCCGCAAGTAAACTGGAATTGGCCGAAGTCGTAGAGCTGGTCAACCATCTGCTGAGTCACGCCATGGTTCTCCTTAAGATAGTTCATGTTGCTCTGCTTGTCGCTTCGTAGATTGTTGATGACGTCGGGGTCTGTGAGCAGATTTGAGATCTTCTCGGTTTCCTCCTCGAATATCGCCCTCCGTGCTAGCACTTCTTCCCGCTTCTTTGTGTATGATGCTGGGCGCTCAGGGAGGCCCTTCAGCTGTGCTTCGAGGTCGCCCACGTAATCGCACATGTTGGTCTCTTTGAGCAGCGCATACTTGAGCTTGGTGATGTCGGTGGTATCCTCATCCTCTGGCGTTTCCTCCTCGAGGAAATTGAGCAGTGGGAAGACGAGGTGTCGGTCGAGGTTGGCGATGAGTTGGGGAAGGAGGCTGTACTCCTTGGTGAAGTCGACATCGCCGTTGGCCTCCGCCATATCTGCGATGTCCGGTATTATCGTGGTGGTAGTGGCAGAAAGTGCTGTTGATGTCGCTGTCGTGGGGTGGGGCACTTGGTCGTCGCCTTGCCAAAATTGAGAAGCGCCAAGATTTGAACATCGGGAATGTCGGCGTTTCTGGATGCCCTGCGCCGAGTCGCCGACCGAGGAGGCCTTCACTTCTCCTGCGCAGAAGCAGAGCAGGGCATTCACCTGCAGCGCATTCACAAGAAAAGGCCACGGCAATGGCGTCATCCACTTCCTTTATGCCATTTCTACGGCCATTGAGTCTGCCGCGACTATCCACCGTGCGCCAGTTCATGCGCTTTTCCGCGAGCACGCAATGCAGAGAAGCAGCGGCAGCATCACAACCACAAGAAGGTATACTACGCATGACAGCTAGCGTGGGATTCGTACTAATGCCGTCGAGATCCAAACTTGATCGCTTCACGAAAAGCGCCAGAGGCATACCCACCACCATGGATGCGTTCGAAACCAAGACCGAAAGTGTCCAAGGCGTCCCGAAGAACAGCGCATCCCACCAAAGAACGACATTACCCAACGCGGAGGCCATCACACCACCAGCCAGAAATGCCAAAGCTCATACCAGACGCTGTCGAGCCGCTTGCTGACAGCCAATGCGCGCCAAACCTGCCTTATTACGTATCAAGATCAAATTTCAACTCGCTACCAGTTTACTTGTTGAGGAAAAGGGGTGGAAATCTGAAGCAGACAAGAATAAAGAACATTGACGGGGACCGGTTGAAAATGAAGGAGGAGCTATGCAAGGCGTTGGAGCTTCCGGCTGATAAAGCAGCGGTGAATTCGGTGACTGGGCACATTATTGTGAGAGGGCATTGGAAGCCACAAGTGGAACGGTTTCTGAGGGAGAGGAAATTTTGAGCAAGAGGGATCTTGCTTCATCACCGGCTGATCCAGGGAGTGGTATGTATACTATGTGCAGCGGAAAATGCTGATGTGCCAATACAGCATGTTGAATGCGCATCATGCTATGAACACAACTGATCCCAAATCCTAAATCTCTTTTTTGCACCATCTCCAAGAGCACTTGATGCGCCAGAAGATGCGCTCCTAGTAGCGAACAAGATCCGGAAGACGACGGCCTGAACCTTCGATTCGAGGCTTCGAACACATATCCTTCCTTGGTGATGGTACAAAAGCTGTACGGTCTGGGTGTTGACCTGCGAAGCACATAGCAGGAAAAGGAGATCGTGGAAATGGCCGGACTCGAACCACGCATCTCGAGAGCGAACATTCCTTCAATCCCTGCTGGCGCAGGTTTTCGGATCATCCGCGATCGTATCTTCATTTTGGACCACATCCCCTGGTTCGTTCGCTCCTTGGAATGCGAAAACGATCAGACGTGCAGCTATGGCAAGCCAAAGGTGTTTCACGGCGGCGACGATGAGCAGCTATGACTTCCGCCTCCTATGGGGAAGCTCTTACATGACGCAGTTCAAAGCTGCGGTTGAACATGTCTGATTTGAATCCAGAACTCCAGCCACAGATTGTCAAAAAGAGTATTGGAAACAATGGGAGGCGAACCATGCATTCCAGCGACGTTTTCTGAGGCCCTTCATCATCCTGGCGAGATGGAGACCTTCAAAGGTACGCTGTATCCTACCTCTAGACCACGTCCTCCAATTGGATAGCAACTTGGGCTATCGGTGGCTTCAAGTAGATCGCATCCAGTGTCTCATGGCGGTACCGATGAGCCGGTTGACTGCGTTACTTTCGCACGTCGACACCAAACAGCAAGCTGCCAACGAAACACTTGGACGTTCGTGTTCTTCAATCGCAACTACCAATTTGTTGATGCCGCCAGCTGCAATCTTCTGCGACGATTCCACTCCACGCCAACGAAGTCGCTCCGCGGCGACAACGAGAATACCAACATCAGCAATGGCAGTCAAAGACTTGCAAGGTAACAACGCGAGTTCTGCCAGCTCTTCACCACTGCTTCAAAGGTTGGTAACATCATCTACGCCTAAGTCCAAGGCGGCAAGACGATTCAAGGTGACTGGCATTCAGCGGGTAGACGACCTTCGGTCAGCGACTTCTTTCCTTTCATGATGAGCATAAGAAGATTGACAATCAAATTCAGGTGCGACAGCGCTTCGGCAAATTTGCTGCGCTACACCAGAGGTATCTCAAAGAATGGTATGGCAGTCTCGCTTTGCAAGCGCTATTGATGCCGATATCTCCCGCCACGCCTCGTCTAGCTACCGCGTTGAGCTGGTAGCTGCAAACGCAAGTCTTTTCCTCCGAGCTATTGTATCGATCAGTCAGTTTCAAGCTCTTTCCACAAGAACTTCACTGGACTCACTTGTGCTTCCTGGTAGGCATATCCAGAGCCACGGCAAGCCTGGTGACAGCTCTTGGTCTGGTCAACAAACTGCCCTCGGACTGGCACTTGTTGAGAGGACTAGCATCCAGCAGCATTGGCATTGGTGCAAACGCAACCGCTCTCCCCGCTATATCTTGTATTAAGAACTGGTCGACAATTCGCAAACACACTACTCACTCGGCCCATTCGTAGGTATGTGCGAGGTTGTAAGTTGCGCAGATGCCTTTACATTTACCAGCTGGGATGTTCTTGACACAGGCAGTAATAGTTTGGCTACCTGAATCATGTTCAAGACAGCCTATACCGTTATCTCGCTTGCAATCTCAAAGAGTAGAGCAAGGACATTGCCTGTAGATGTCTGCTGCCGAAGCGGTTGATGCGAGGGCGATAATAGTAGCCGCGAAGGTAAGTGTAGACCGCACAGTGTTCTTGCTGTTTTGTTAACTGTAGAGGTGATTGGGGTGTAGTAATAAGTACTAACGATCGAAAGACAGCGATTGGAAGCACCATTTGTAGTAGTTGGCATCCGGAAAACAACGCTTCACCCTCGCTGTGATCCTTAACATCATAGGCTAACAGCATCCGGAAACCCATAAGTAATATTCGCAATCCTAATAACATACGCTAGATGCAGTCTAATCGATATAGGATAGGCCTACATTAGGTTTTATACATGCCTAAGCGTTTTTTCCCTTGCAAGACGAAAGATCATCGCAACCACACAATTTTTCCATACAACGTTGCCGAAGCGGTTGATGCGAGAGTGATAGTAGCAGCGAAGGTGAGTATAGACCGCATGGTGTTCTTGCTGTTTTCCGATGTTGTTAGAGGTCAGCTTATATTATGTAGCGATCGAAAGGCAGCGATTGTAAGTGCTATATGTATGTACTCGCATCCGGAAAAACAACACTTCACTCTAGATGTGATCCTTGATGTAGGATACTACGGCAGTACTCGCACTAGGATGGACCTCCTTGCCAACAGCACCACCTGCAACGCCCAGAACGGTTACTGCGCCAACATCCTCATCAGCAACGAAGCCTCCAACTGCGGTGGTGGTGCATGTAGGCGCACCTGCGACCCTAGCAGAAAAAAATAAAGGCAAGACTTGAGTGGAAGAACAGTCAGAGTTCAACCAATGCGGAAACCCATGTCTCTCCCTTCGCGACGACTCCAACAAACCCGCCTGCGTCGAAGGAGCATGCTTCAAGCCATGCCCCGTCTGTGAAGCAGGTTTCGAACCCGTGGGCTGAGGCTCTCAATGGCCAGCCCACTTATGGTTTCAACTCAGGCGACAACAACCGCGAAGACGAATTCTATCTCAGCACACCAGAAGACCAGGGCAGCCAGTCCACAGAATCCTCAACTATTTGTACAGTCACGGCGTGCTCCAGTATTCAGTATCGCGTCGACTTTGGCATGTTCCGTGATCAGGGTACCAACTCATGCACAGTTTGAAAGCAGGAGGCTGTCAAGTTCTGAACTACAATATTCCGAACTGTTCGGGTTATCCTGCGCAGAGGCTTAAGCAGATCTCGCAGAGGAATGACGTTATTAAGGCCGGACTCTTTCCTGAGGGAGGTGAGGTGGTGAAGAACGGGTTGAGTCTTGATGTCCCATTTGAGTTCAAGTTGACTGGTAACGGGCAATATAGGGATGATCATGTTGCTTTTGGGATGGTGAGGTTTGGGCATTTCTCTCTTGACGCCTGTTCAGCATAGCGTGGTATACGCCAAATCTCTACATTGAACTGCTTGTCGCGATGATGTTCTGCATCGAACCGTCCTGTCATCGAACTGTCCTGTCATCGAGCTGTCCTGTGTTCCTGAATACTAGCTTGCCAAGCCAACACTATATACAAGGCTGCGTGTATTTCGCCACAAACAAGCTTACCATCTCAGCCTTGGTAAGCATGAAAGAGCACAGGCTATTGGGTAGAACCAAAAGCTTTCCGTGAGGACACAATCTCCCATTTTTGCAAGAAAAGACGACTTCCGCCACCTTTTATCCTCCCACACGATCTTTGAGGACTAACAGCGAACAACAGCAAGCACCTTGTCAAAAAAAATCCAACAAACTCCACAAACGCCCCTGAAATGTCGCTCTCCCAATCAGACCAACAAATCCAAGACGACGAAGTGTCAGACGTCACCCCCTCAAATCTACAGCCTGACACCACCAACCTTCAGCCTTACACCAACTCTCCATCTCCCGAACAAGAACAAAACCCCCTCGCACACCCCAATGATACTTCAGAAAAACACACCACAGCCCACCGCCTCCGCTTCCTGGCCGAAATATGCGCGATGACAAACTTCAAGCGCGCACGAAAACGTGTGGAGGAGATGGGAGAACAGGAAGCGTTTAAGTTACTCAGATCTTCGACTTCGGCGGAACGACTCGCAGCGAGGGAGCAGCTTGCTGCGGATGTGGAGGAAGAGAGGGAGAAGTTTGAGAAGGAGGTGCGGAAGAGGGTGGAGAGGAAATTGCAGGTGAGGACGAGGAGGATGGAGGGGAGAGCAGGTGGACTGGTGGGTGGGCGGGTGAATGTGCCGATGAGTCGGCGCGAGCTTGTTGCTATGAGAAGGCGGAAGTATTTTGATAATGCTTCTGGTGCGATGGGAGCAGCCGTCTGGCCTGCTCAGGCTGCGGAGGATGTGAATGAACCGTTGCTCGTCACTGGAGCCATGTCCGCCGGGGCTGTTCTTGGTGAGCAGTCAATTGGGGTTCGTGCCGCAGAAGGAGAACAGGAAATGGCAGATTTGACAGACTTTATGCGTGGTACAAGTCTGTGAAGATCAGCTGTTGTACGAAGAATTCATAGAACGCATCAGGCTGCAGGTCTTGGCGCGAGTCTCTTGCGAAAAAGGTCCGCCATGACGAGGAGAATTCCACAAGCTGCTCAGATACTCTCTGTACATGAATAATCTCAATGCATGCACGCGCCAAACTCCTCGCTAATCATGCAAATATGCCACCGCCATACCAGCAAGCTCTGTCGCTTTCGCTTTCCATCAAGCTCTCGCATGCCATTAAACGCCATCGGTAATTGCGGAACCCTCAGCCAGTTACATCTCCATCATGCTTTCCATCAGTACTGCGCCGCCATAGCCCTCGCGGTCATCGCGACCAGATGACCGTCGCGCTCGCGGTCCAAATTCGTATACTTCTTCTTCCAACTCGCGCCGTGTAAGAATTCTAACTTCGCAAAAAGACGCTGTCAGCAAACTTTGTACAACGATATCATCGAAACAGGGATAAGGGAAGGGCAAAATATCAATGCTGCTAGTATTGCATCCCACCGCTTCCGTAGCCCTGTCCGACGTTGTCGTCCAGGCTTCTGTAGCTGCCGCGGCCACGACCTCGTGCGCCACCACCACCACGTCCGCCATGGTCGTTGCCGCGTCGGCGTTGGCATTGCTGGCCGCCACGTCCTTGGCCACCGCGAGCTGCATTGCCGCCACGTTGAGAGCCAAAGTCGCCTCGCTTATTTTGGTAGGCTGAGCTGTTCGCGCCACTGTGGTAGCCTCTCTGCTGAGGTCGGGGGCCCTTATTGCCGTTCTGCCGCGGAGTAAAGTCTTCTTCGCGAGGATGCTTCCGCGCGTTCTTGGCCGTTGGGAATGACGCCTCATATTCATCTTCGTTTCGGTACTCTTCTTCCACCCTGAGAAGGACTTTCTCGCCAACAGTCGTCTCGAACTCGAAGGCTTGATCTTCAGTGACAGGCTGCCACTGCTGTATCCGACTAGCTTCAATCGGCTTTGCTTGCCGTCGCGTCCCGAGAACGACGCAGGGAGTAGTGTTCTCCGTGTACGTCTTGACACCAGGTGTGACACAGGCAACACGAGCTGCCCAGACTCTCTGTTCAAGACATGCGACGCCCGTAACCTTCCAAGTGACCTTTGCTCCAATGCCACCGACCTTATCGAGTATGCTCTTGGGCGCGGGTCGCGGGACGATGAGGATGTTATTGGCGAGATACTTGACTTCATGCTCAGGACAGTTTGGCGGCAGCTTGATAAGAGTCTTCAAGCGCTCAATGTCTTCGGGCGAGATGAGGTAGCCAGTGTAGAAGACGGTGCGCTTGATCTTGTATGGTGTTGTATTGGCAGGTGCTGTACCGTCGATGATAGCCTGATTGTTGATATTGATCATCTTCTGCACCTCGCTGACTTCAGTGACCGGATCCATGAAGCTCTCCTGCTCTGGCACCTGAATGACTTCGGCTGTGAAGGGCTTTCGCGGTGAGTTCTCGCCAGCGTCCATCAAATGCTTGTTGAGATCAAAGAAAAAGTCGCGGAAGCCTTTGGTGTGCTTCACGCGATCTTCATATATGCGCAGCTCCTCGGCTTCGGTATATGTGAAGACGATGTCCCGTAGCAGCGCCTGCTTGAAGTGCATAGTGCTGTTGAAGTATTCTCCTGTCGGACCCACCGCGGGCTTCAAGCAGACCATATCAAAGTCGAGACCTTTGGATGCAATCATCTTTCCGATCAGCTCGCCAAACGCGCTCTCTTTCCTGCCAGTGAGAAGTACGTTAAGCGTGGTAGGCTCTTCTGCGGAAAGCCGCACCAGCTCGGCGATCTGCTCATTCCAGCTGCCTTCCCATGCTCGGGCCTCCTCTTTCTCCAGACCTTCGCCTGTTGCCGCCAGGATGTTGGGATTGTGCCACCATCCGCCTTGATACAGGAATTCTTCTGCTTGTAGCGAGCCGAATGTCGATGTGTTCCATATTGCCTTGTTGGGGAGTGGGGATTTGAAGACTACAGGACATCCCTATCAGCATAGCTACGACATAAGATGGATATGCTTCTACACACGAGTGTTGTCAAAGTCGTAGACGTGGATATTCTTGACGTGGTTCACTGGCGGCAGCTGCTTGTCCTGACAGCTCCAACGCTTGAGCGCTGTTGGCGTGTGCGAGGTCGCCATCTTTCTCCTCCAATTACTCTTACATGAGCGAGCGAATGCGGTGCGAAGGAAATGGTATTTGTTCATTCATGTCGAGCGACTGGACTGCATCGTCCCAGTCGCCATTGCATTCGATGTTGTAGTTCTACTCACGCGGGAGAGAAAGCGCGCTGCGACAGCGGGCGACTTCCATGACAACGCCAAGCCTCTGTATTCTATCGATTTGCTCAGTCACATCAATATTTAGCGACGGGATTTGATTAGTGGACTGTTCAAGGGCCTCTCTCGGATCTCCCCACTGGCCTTAGAAGATTCTGCCAACGGCACCTATACTGCTCGCCATGGCCTTCATTCTCGCCTCTGTACATTGACCAGCCGAGAAGAGCAAGGACGTGTGGAAGACCTCGGCGCTGGCTACGCTTTCCACGGACTCCCGGGTTGGGACAACAACTACTCGCGAACGAGTACGCTACACGAAATGCAGCAACAAGCATCCAGCATGCGCGTCGAGCGGTCTCAGTCCCAGCAGAGTGGGCTTATGCTTGTGAGACAGTATCTGTGAACGATTGTCCGTTGATATGTCCTCACATCACATAGAGGCAGGCCACATGAAGCTATGCAGCCGAAAGACTCCTCACTCAGCACCAGTTCGTTCCGCTGGATACCTCGAGAAAGCCAGGCAACGTCTACCCAAGGCTAGATGACGATGCAGACGCAGAACAGAAATAGGCGAGCAGTCAGCAACCTTACTGCAGGTGTAAAGAGGCGGAGGAATTGGAGTGAAATGTATTTTCTCTGCTTGATGGACAGTGGCTCTATTAAGCTACGCTCCAATGATCTTTGAAGGATTTGGTCTGCAAGAGTAGGGAGAATGATAAGGCTAGGTGTACCTTCGGATCTTCTTGAGACATTGGCGCCTTGGACGAAGGCCCGCTATTGCCCGCCAACAACATCGCTTTTGTCTTCGCCCGCGCCTGCTGAGACGTCTTCGCCCTCTTCAGCGCCATTACCTATTCCCCGCTGCGTCCGGTGCATTCGCTGCCTGCTCCCGCAACTTCTGCACCTTCCCAAGTATCCTGCACCTGTCGCTGCAGTATAGACCGTGCCTCTCGCCGACCGGAGCCAATTCATTGCAGCCTCGGATGTCGCATCTCCTGAACAGACCAGGAGTGTCATCATACCACTTCGATCCGGGGCCTTGTCCTTGGCATGTAGCACAAGCTTTCGGTCCTGGATGTGGAGCGTTGTTTTGGCATGATGGATTCCAGCATTCGCGACTCCTATTCCTCTCCTCAATGCAAGCTCGGCATGTTCTCGAGCCCTTCAGAGGAAGCTCGGTGTCGCATCCTTGACCCAAGCACGTCCGAGAGTTCTTTTGCTCTGGCATATCACCGGCCTCATCGTTTCCGCTATCATCTCTGGCCTGGTCGTCTCCCCCATTACCGTTGACACCGTCATTGCCCCATGTTCGCCCTCGCCTTCGGATTCCTCCGGCGTGGCTGCATCTTCAGCTTCCGCCTTTCTCTTATGTGCGGAGGGTAGATGGCAGCAGCTGCAGTGGCAATTGCACATCAGGGGGCAGTCGCACTTGATTTCCTCCTCTATCTTTCTTGCACAGGGACAAGCACGTTGCTTGTCGCAAAATGTGCAGCGGCACTGGCAATTGACATCGTGTTTGTATTGGCCGTCTGGTACATCATGTCTCCTGCTTCTGCAGCGGCAAAGGTATGATTGCTTGCCACCATTGATAGCCCTGATTCGTACCGATGCTTCTGGAAGGCCTGTAACGCTGACAAACGTGTCAGAACTATTCGATGGAGGTGACATAGATTGCTTACCTCACGACATATTTCTTCCACTTCTGCTCATCCTTTTTGGTGGTATACTTGCCATTTTCCCTCAGCAGCTCATTTTCGGTGTGAGCGTAGCCCTGGAACTTTGTCATGCTGAAAGCTTGAATGAAGTTCTGCGCCTGTTGGACATGGCGCTCGCCAGCCAAGGAAGCAGGAGAGCTAGAGCAGAGTCAGCAGCCTTTCAACAACGAATTTGATGTGATGAAATACCTGGCCTGCTGGCGATTGCCCCCGATCCAGAGGATAGGTTGAATCATGGGAAGGTTCGTCGAAACTCGGGGTGCTCGCTCTTGCGATTTAAGACTCTCTTCCCATGCCGCGACCTCGGGCCTCCCATTCCAGGGAGCTCCCAACTGCAGAGCTTCTGAGACATCGAGTAAGGTCTCATGGTCCCAAGTAAAGGAAAGGAGACCATTCCCACCATATTCGAGTGCATCCTTCAGTCTCTTGTACGCCGACATGTCGGAACAGACTCGATCTACACTGACAGTCATGACCAGGGTACGACCATGCAGACCTTTGATTCGTCGCATAAGCTGATCGATGAATGTTCTTTTGTGCTTGGACTCCTTTTGGCACCTGAATGAGGAACATCTGTTGCTCATACCGGAGGTTAGGGTTCTCAGTGCTTTGATTTGCCTGGTAATCGACGGATCGACGCTGACCTCCGACTTGTCGGCCCACGAAGGAGATATGTGGGATACCAGCAGGACACGGCGATAGCCATGTGCTTCCTTCACGAGGTTTAGGACGTTGGCAAGATCTAGAGCTTGCTTCGGCCTTTGTCCGGCAATATCGTTTCTGTCAAGGAAGTCGCACAGCCTGATGGTTGCTTGGTACTGTCGCCCATGGAAACCTGCCTCTTTTGCAATATTCCGACCTGCCATGGTTAATAGAAATACAATCGCACATGGCACTGAACAACTTACCTAGCTGGAGTCTGGCCTTGACCACATCCACTGTAGCCCCTTCTAACTTGTACCAGGTAGAGGTCCAATGTTCAGAACCAAGCGAATCGCCGAGGACGTACCAGCCTCCTCCTAGAGATTTGAGCTCTGCACAAATGCGATCGACTTCTTCTGCGCGCCGTGTCAGCCTGTCGGGATTCGTTGTGAGGATGTATAATGGCTTGTCCCGCAAGAGACCTCTCCACATGTTCCGATCATCGAGGGGATGTTTGTTGGTTGAACATGTCTCAGCGAAAACATCCAAGTGGTCGCCGGGTATCACCCACGGATAGACGGCATGGAGGAGCGTTGTAAGTTGCCGAGACATCGAACCTGCCTTCAGCGTCTCTTCTCCGCTCTGTCTGGCCCAGATAATGATGGTCGCTGGCGCTCGTCCCGCAACCGCCAGATCAGGGATTGGCTGAGTGCTCTTGATAGCACCGGGAACAATTGCGGCGTCGATTGCTCTGCGGAGTTTATCAGAGAGGACCTTGAGACGAAAATCCACGTCTTCGTCTCCATCAACCCGGAACCATGTGCTCGATCTCTTATCCATTCGGAAAGGAAGAGTGACGACATCATCGGAATCGCGCTTGGCCCCAAGAGAGTCTCGGAGTTGGTCCATGGCGAGCATCACGGTTCGACTGTCGGGCTCACCCTCTCCCGGGAACTGTACGAGGAAGCAGTGTCGCCGGTCTTGAATGAGCTTGTCCAAGACATGTATCTGCGGACCGCAGTGGACGTCCCCATCCCATTGCTTGAAAAATGAAGGTTGAGTCTTGCGGAGGAAGTTTTTGGCCTTGCGGCTCTCGAACGAGCCAAGGACAGTCCAGATTCCCTGGAATGACATGTTCGCCGCAGAAACTTTGTGGTCGTCTCCCAGCTCTACTAGCTTTCGAGAGTCTGCAAACGCTTTCGGGAGCTTGTAGAGGAATCCTTCCGCCACAGCTCGCCTCAATGCATCGAATGCAGCGCGGACCATGATCGCCTTCCCTCCAGGGAAGGAGCGGACCTCGTCATCGAGCTTTTTCTCGATTTTGCGGCATCCAAATGACTCCCACTTCGCTCCGATACCAGCTAGCGACCTCATTACTATGGTGATGTCTCTGTGATTGAGTCTCAGACTGATTCGGAGGAAGTGTGCCATGATTTCGTGCTCTTTGGTGAAGCGCCACTCCAATTCCCTTATGCTCTTGCCGCAGAACACTCTCACTGTCTGGATTCGTCTCGGAGAGTCGACAGGATCATTATTTGCCGCGCTTATAGCCCGACTACCCTGGAACATGTCGCATCTTGTGCTTTGCCAGAAATCCTCTCCCATGCGAATGAAGACTGTGCTGCCTCCATCCTCGAGCCAAAATCCGTGGATTCTGGACGAATTGGCTACTCTGTCTCCAAGACGCAAAATGAAGTCTAACCCACGCCGAGGATCAATCTTAAGCTCAAGAACCGTGTCCAGAATCCAGTACTTGGAGGCGCGAGCCATCTCAATACAGTCCACAAGGTTGCACAATCTTTCTAGCTCGTTACGAAACGAGTCTGCAAGATCGTTGCGCGTCTGGCGCCATTCTGCATCGTTTACGTCGGAGACTCTGCTGATCTGCATATCATCTTGATCCTCATCCATATGAGAAGACATCGTGGAATGAACCATCAATACGGTCGGCCTTTTGGCTTTGGGTGCATCGACTGCTGGTATTAAAATTCAGAACCGAAGAATGCGGCGAGAGGTAGCTTGAGAGTATTCGACTGCCTCAAGAGGTCTCGGACGCTGTCACGTATGGGCGGAGCTTTGTCGTGAATTTGGCCAGCGCGATCAAGTCATGGTGGTGAGCCGGATCGTCGAATGGTTCGCAAGATATGACAGGATAGAAATAATGGTCTTGTGGCGTAGGTGGTGAAGTAGAAGATAGACAAGATATCTCGCCCGGATCAGAGGCCAGTGCAAGGGTATATGGCGCGAATGCAGATGGTAGTAATTGGCAGAACCAAGGAAGTATGCATGGAAGTGTCGATGGCGTTGGATGTCGTTGTTGTTGTATACACGAGAGTCCAGAGGAAGACTTGACTTATGAAGGTCACCGCGCAACTTCATTGCGGCTTGCAAGTGATGGTGACAGAAGTGAGGGCGCAGAGCTCTCGCCGCCTTCATTTTGTGCATCGATCTGATGGCTACGTTAGTAGGCCAGAGCAAGTCAGAGCAGTGTTGAATGAAATTCCGGAAAACGTTCGGGACATTGGGCCCTCAGCGGGTATGGCGAGGCAGAGAAGTGGCATCGCTCTGAGCCGCTTCTCGCCATGTCTTCTACGCATCGTTCGGATCCTAAGAGCACAGTGAGCTGCACACCGGTAGAGCGATGACCGTTCGATCTGGGATAGAAGTAGCTCACCCGGGAAGCCTCCCACTTCTAATAGCCACCGAGACATCGAATCATCACCTGCATTCTCCTCTTCGATACTACGCATACCACGATCCAGATGCGAAGCAAGTAGCCTGATCTGCTGGCTTGGAGCAGAGCGGTCATGAAGTGAGTCGTCGGCGCCTCCTCGACATTCGGCTCTGACAGCTTTTCCTCACCCACAGCCAGATGCAACGCTGTGAGATCGACATTTACAGCGAGCACAGAGTGCATCCTGTTGGCGTGATACGAGGCATCCTCTCACCTGACATGTCCCTCCAAAAGCTCGCACGCGCGAAAGTCGCCAGCTGCCATCCGGTAAGCTCAGTACACTGCTCGAACGCGGAGCACATAGTTCTACCTCACTAGTGGAAACGACTCCTCATCACCTCTGGCATAGCTCCCGACGAATCTGGTCGGCAGCAACAGTAGCTTGTTACATGTGGCTGCACGCTACCTGGTATCTGGGAGCGCGTGTGAGAGTGATCACGGAGACATTCCTCACCTGCTCTGAGCTCTTCAGCCTTTGAGGTACGGCAACGACTTTTCTGCAACACCATTGCCTTCGTTCAGTGGTGGAAAGCCGAGCGCACTTTGCTAAAGTCATCTCCACGCTTCTTCACCTACAACTCCAACATCTCCACCAGGAGACTTCCATACGAGACCCTCCAGCTGTGATATTCAACGGTTCGGCATACTCTCAAAACCTGGAGCACAACAAGCCTAAGTAATCGAGAACGTGATTCCACAGCCAAATTCATCTCCTCTGCTTCGACGCGTATATCCAAGCTCATGGCGTCCTGGCTGAGTTCTGATGTCTTTGGCCAACATACCTGAACTCCACACCTCACCCGCTGTTATCTCACAAGAGCTCGATGCATGAAATATTTCATCTACGACGCCATGAGCTTGGATCTCCGCGTCAAAGCAGAGAAAGGAGTATTCAAGTGATCGCCAACATCCCTGAAGTCCGTCCCTCACCCGCTATCATCTCACAAGAGCTCGATGGAATGAAAGATGTTTTCTACGACGCCATCAGCTTCGTCAACTGCCCAATCCAGAGAGCCAAAGGGAAGAAAAAATGGTGTGAAAACTTCCGAACCTTCATCTCCTGACCTAAAACAAGCTCCGCGAGATCCCACTCACAGAAATGTCCACCTGCGATGCCATCGGCTTTGAAGACGGCCCATCTCAGAGTTGAATGCGAGAAAATTAGTCAAGAACTTACCTGAATCCCTCCCCTCACATGCATCCATCTCTATCCTCTCGCACGCATAGCAGGATTTATCTGTGATGCCATGAGCTTCGTGCAATACTGAAACCCGAGAGCTGAAAGCTACCGAAATGATAAAAATCGACCCAAAACTCATCTCCGCATCCAGCCCGAACTCCCTAGAATCCCATCCCAGCATCGTCCGACTCTGTCATCATCAGCACCACACACACGAGAAACTAGGAAAGGAAAAGGGGCAATTTTCAAAATCATCATATTTGCAAGTCTGTCTCATACATCCATGCTCCTCTGCAAAGGCACTGTACAGGCATGCCAAGCCTCTCATATCATCATTTCTATCATGCAATTCGTAGTCCTCCAACAATTACCATCCTCCCATGATTCGGCGAGCACCAGATCCGCCGTGATTACGAGAAAGCCAGCCTCGAGCGAGAGACTGGAAGGACTCGACACGCGAATTTTGCTTCTTCCGCCAGTTGCGCTGGACAAAGAGGACTGCATTTAGCAGTCTCTGTTCCTCCTCGGCCTTCACAGCGAGGCGAAGGAACTTGATGCGACGGAAGATTTCGTTGCGCTCAAGTTTCTTGCGAAGAGTTCGCTGGATTTTGATTGCGGCGTGGTAGCGGCAGGATAATGGCAGGAGTCTCGATGCCAAGAGGGCGAGGTTCGAGATAGTGGTCTCGCGACTCGGGAACGTGCCGATGGAGCTAACGATCTGGTTGCTAAAGGCCTTGCTGAAGCCTAGAGTAGAAAGCTGATCGCGGATGTTCTCTCTGGTCTTCGAGGTTCCCAACTCTGCGAAATGCTTCTTGTCCTCGGACATGCAAGCAGCAAAGGCACTCAGGATAACAGTGTAGACCTTGCCATCAGTGAATGCCGTTGTGAGGTTGCGAATCGGGGCTAGACCTGCTCTCACAGCATAGCCCGAAGCCCATTCTTGAAGCAGATTGTGGCCATCAGCAGCGGCCAGAACTTCGTTGGGCTGCCTAATGGTCTGTGCGTGACCGGTGCATCGGCCAACGTCGTTATACAACTCGCGCCAGTCAACGAGATGCTCGAGGCCGAAGACACTGACCAGCTGCCACATCAAGCTCAGAGTCTTCTCTCGATGGCCATCGAGGATATCCTTTGCGGTGATATCGCCGACAACGTTTATGCCTTCGATGCTGTGGCTCTCCAAAGCGCTGAGAGCTACCTGAATATTGTACTTCTTCTCCGCAGCACCAAGACATGGCACTTTGAGGTACTTCGAGAGAACGCGCGATGACGGCGTGTTAGTCGTGTGAGTATCGAGAGAAGTCAGGAGGATTGTCTCGTCTGGCATGCGAACAGCAAGAGTGTCGTCCAGACCCTTGCGATTGCGGTCTCGAGATTCTCGGGAACAGAGCAGGACCTCAACAAGCCGGGTCAGTTGAATACCATCGCGGAGATCGACAGCAAGATTCTCAATGCGATACACCACTCCGTCCAGAGGATCTTGTACTTGAGTGACTTCGTAACCCATATGCTTGAGAGAGCGGCCGATATCTCCGACAGATGGGAGGAGCAATGCAGCAAAGGAGTTCAGAACTCCGGCGGATGACATCTTCGTAGAGCCGGGCTTGAAGAGACATCCCTCGAGGAATCCTGACGTCTTTGCCTCGTCAAGCAGCAAAATGAGCATAAGACCGCGGCTCATCAGCTTTCGCCAGCGGATGGCATCACCATCTCCATTGGTGTTGGGCCCAGACAGGTATGCAACATCACCAATACAGACGAAGAAGAGCTCCAGAAACGAATTGAGAGCCCGTCTGTCAGCATGAGAGTCGAGAGAGCATTCCAGCATGCCAGTCGATGTTGGGATCTGTCTGCCAGCGACGACCTCGGCTGCAGTGCGAAGTGCGTTCTCGTCATAGGTGTCAAGCCAGAGACCGATTAGACGCTTGCGCAAGCCAATATCAAGGCTTGGGTTCCGAGTCGAGAACGAATCCTGCGGCGGCGAAAGCGCACCGTACTCTAATGATGCTTGTACGCGACGATGCAGGAGCGCAATCTCCGGCTGGTTGTAGATCTCGATGAGCTTCTCCCGTAACGCATTTCCACGAAGGGAGTGCTGGGAAATTGGCGTAGACTTGGCGAAAATCTCGTTTGCGACCTCCGTGAGTGCAATCTCTTGATATGCGAGCCACTCATTCTCATACAACTCTGGCTGAGAGAGGTCTCCGGACAGAACTGGGTAGTCTTTTACCTTTGCAGCGTGTTGCTCGCTGCGCTTCGTGGCAATAAAGTTGCGAATTTGCTGCTTCTCCTCGGCAACATTGACTGGTTGAGGCTTCGGTGGCGTCGGCACCTTGAATTTTACGGAACGAATGGCGGCCGAGTGCGAAGGACTAGACTTCTTCGTAGGAACCACATAGCTTGCCTCAGTAGTGACAGTGCGCCGTGGCACTCCAGCGGGGCGATTGCGATTGAAGTTGAACGAGACGTTTGTCTTGAGTATAGGCTCCTGCAGTTGATCAACCTCAGGCCGGGCATACGGCCGTGGCATCAACGAGGCTCGACGACGAGATTCAGCAATCGATTCCATGAGACTTGGTCGAGGTCGGCGCGCAGGTGGCTGCTTCTCTGCCAGGCCTAGATTCTTCATTTTCTTCTGAATTTGGTCAACAGCACCTGGTGGTACGTTCTCCTTGCCGGTATTGCTGTGGTTGTTAGTAAGGGCGCAGGGTTCAGTCAAGGAAGCGGGAGACTCACCAGCCTGCTACATCCCAGCCGGGCATGTTCTGAGTTGAAATAGACTCCCGCAGCGGAAGACGCTTAGGGGCTGCAGCAAGAGACTGTCTGGGTCGGCGTGCCGGCAGCTGCCTCTCAGGTTTCTGAATTTGTGACATCGTCGGCTGGCATGAAGACTTGGCAGCTGGTACGTGGAAAGTGTCGTCCAGGCGACTGGTGTTATCGACACCAGGGTGAATCGTCATAACAGTAGTGTCCTCTGGGATGTAGATGGTGGCACGGCGCGGCTTCCTGGCAATGCCAACAGTCGCACTGCCCTCTTTCTCAGCAGCATATGTGATGCTTCTCTCTGCCCGCATTCCGGCCAGACTGCTGTCAGTATTCGTCTCTCCACCCATCATCCTAACATCCAAATCACCACCCATCATGCTCTCTCTCCGTCCGCCCGCGGCTCTGAACGCTCCACCCGCCATAGCCATTTTCTGAGCTGGTTTGCCCAAAAGTGTCTTACCTTGAACTGCTTTCTGGCGGTTGTCACCAAGCACCAGTTCCTCATCTTCCTGCACGTCTTCGAACACCGTGACAGGTGCTGCCTTCTTTGCTCTGCCAACGCCCATCATGGATCGCCTCCTAGGCTTGATGCCGGTGAGCGGCTGGTCGAGAGCTCGTGTGTAGTCGATGTTGGCTGTCGTATCGTCCGTGAAAAGCTCCAGTGACGATATCCTGCGGTGCGACGGGTTGAGGCCAGTCGGCGCAGGACACGGCGTTGCGAGCGATGTCCGTGTCGAAGTCATGTTGGCGACGGAAGTGTCTTGAATGCGAAAAGCGGGTATGCGCGAGCAAAAGCTCACTTCGGGAGCATCGGCGGCGACGTTTCAGGTGAGCTTCAATTCTGCGGCTCGGCCGTTTGTCTTGCAGATGGAAAGTGCAGTCTGATGAAAGTCGGGAAGGCGCGCGTGTTGATGTGCAGGGATTCTGCCGTTGCCTGGAGTGACGGGCTGAACAGCCAATGAGCGTTGCTCGTTCATCATGCTCCTGCCAGCCTAAGTCGCGCAGCTGCAGACATCACCTCGAACCTCTTCCTTCATGGAATGTCCCGTACGCGGATTCGAAAGGGATTATATGAATACCTCTTCCAGCCGGCAATGGATTTCTCCACGATCCACCTCATTCGGAAATACCTTTACTCGGGCTGAAGAACGCCATACGTGTCGGATGCAGGATTGCAGTGGCTGGGCAGCCCCCCTCGTCTCCTCCGCCTGCACTATTGAACCTCTCCAAACATGCTTGATTGGGCTTCTGCCATGAAAGAGTTGATTGTAAGCCTGTTCCAAGTGTGGTCACATAAGCCGGCCACGAGATCGGAATCGAACTGGCACGCGCGAACGCGACCTTCCGCTGCAATCTTCACTTGACCGTTCTTGGCAGAAGAGTTCCACATATCCCGACAATACTCTCACATCACGGCGAATGTCCCGTCTCCGTGTCCCTAAGCTAGCGTCCACCGACTACTTGCCAACCAGGAGACATAAACCCCGCCATTATTCGAGTGACGACATGATCTGGTCTCCTGTCGGTCGTTCGCTGTGCCACGCCCACGCTAATAGCCTGCAGAAACTGTCTTTCCTCCGAGGACCAAGTAGCAGCTCGGCAGCGTTGAAAGATAGTAGGAATCATACCCGTACTAGTGGCACTCCACCAGTTATTGATCGCAATTATGTTCCCTTTGAATCTCCCAAGACACGAGCGGAAGCAGGCTTTTTTTCAATTCCGTTCATTGATTCAAACACTTCTTCACAGTGAAAATACACAAGGAAGGTACCATGCATGACTTCATTGCTCAATCTGGAAGCTAACCGTCAGTTCCCCGCCTCCTGCGACATGAGCTGGCGCCGGCTGCCCCTGTACCAATCATCGATGCAGGCTTTTCTGCCACTCAGCAACACCTCACGTCCTACACCACTGCTTCACAGCGAAGGACCAGCTACGGTCACCTTTCCTACGGATCCGGAAAATGCACGCCGGAGCCGGTTGCACACCACAAGCTTCCTTTCTCGGCTTGCCGCCCGAGCTCAGGCTACGCATCTACGAAGCGGCATACTCAGATGAGCTAGTAGCAGAATTACGCGGACGAGGTTTTGACCATCCAATTCCAAGCTCCCATCAAGGCATCCTCATTTCGCTCCCATCTCAGATGCAACTTCACATACTCGGCCTAGGCGCCACTCATTCGATCTTCAATGCTCTTCGGATGAATTCAGGCGTCGGTGGCACTGTAGAAGAAGAATCAGCATCGAATACAAGCAAAATAGCAGTCGCTACACTCACTCTGTGGCCGCTCAGGAGGCACAAATTCCTTACTCAATCGTCCCCAGACAGGCAACTTATCCTCCACGAACGCATATTGACACTTCTTGGTCTTCGCGAAGAGACACATCAGATGTAGATGTAGAGGCGCGGTTGGGGCCGATGGCACACGTTCCGACTGATCGTGGTAATAATCGAAGCGGAGACCACGCGGGTATGCTGGCAGAATAATCGAGACGCAGAATTTATACGTACCTCCAGTGCCATCGTGATGTCTTACATTCCAATGCTGGCCATCAAGAGTGTAGCTGATAGTTCTGACTTCAGCTTCGCCGACGTAGCCCGCTTCGTCCTGGATGACGTGGAGCTTCGTGATCTGGTCGACGTCTCTGGCGTGGATATGTGTAAGCTCCACATTGTACGCGGCAGCTCCGACAGAGTCAATGAAGAAGTCGTTTTTCTTCCAGTATTTCCGGTGTGCGTCCCGATGCATGACTTTGGCCTCACTGTAAATCTGCTTGCAGGACAGGAGCAGCGACTTTTCTGGTGGGTTTGCTTTAAACAAATTGATGCGAGACTTTTGGAGATTTGGGTTGAAGACGAGCTCGTAGATTTCGTTACGTAGTTCGGCGGGCAGGCTGTCGAGGAACCAGCATGGGTCTTGCGCTGCGTCTCGAGGCGTCGTGTGCATCTTGGCTTGAGTCTCTGGGGCAATTGCGGTGTCGAGTTGGCGGGAATCGGTCTGTATATTGTGCAGATGCTGAGAATGAAGTCGCGCGGATGGTCATGTTATGATGCCAGTTCACTTCAAGTCGCGTCGCTGAGTGCGGAGTGACGCGCGGCCGCCAAGATTCACATGGCACGCGAAACCACATCTCGTGAAAGCCGGTTTTGAGTGTGAGCGCAGGGGAAATGAACGAAGTGAATTCATTTGATGTGAATCAGAAATTTTTAGGCAAGACTTATCCAGTATTCGTTGCTTCCTTGGTCGAACACGCCGAGCGGTAAGTTGAATGGTCCCAAGCAGCGTGACCATTTGTGGTCTTGTGTATCCTGGGAACGAAGACACGAATCCTCCTACAATTTCTGAAACACAGCATACACTTCAAACGTCAGGTAGTAACGTCATCTCCCTTCCGACTGACGTTCGATCATAAACCTCAATTGCTCAACCTGCTGCTCCTGCCCAAGGCGTCCCGATGTCAGTCACAACAAGAGTAGAAGAAAGTGGAGTATACACAAGAGGGCCACACTGCAACAACGTGCTGGTAGTATAGCGGTTGACTTGTAAAGACGAGCTCGAGAGCCGTGCTGCGGTCGAATGATGCAAGAGGGTTAGAGAAGCAAAGCGCGATATCTTCGATACTTTACCAGGTTGATCGCAAAGCTGTAGAGCTCATTGTGCTTCATGTACCACATTCCATTACTATGTAGGCTCTCAGCAGCATAGTTTAGGATCAGGCTAGTGGTCTTCAAGATGCCGTTATGGCGAAGCATCTCGAATCGAGGCTAGAAGCAGGACCTTCCAAAATCGCCAGATGAAGACCGTCAGATATATCTGGTTGGGCTGCTCTCATTTGGTGATTGGGCAAGACTTCTAGATTGGGATTGCAGGAATGAGCTGGCAGGGGTGGTATTACTATGGCTAGACACGTTTTGCCTGCCAAGCATTCTCCAGGCGCGTGGAGAGCTCGTCCCGATATATAGCAGACGCGATTTGAAGTCGTCCGCGCGTAGGAGAACTTTGTCTTCATGTAGCAGTCTCTCGAATATCCGTTCGCATCAGGGCGTGATTGCTATGGTAGTCTTGTCAAACACGAAAAGGGTCGAGCAGTCTGCTTCAGTGTTGTTGTCGTTCGGAGAAGCTGAATCGGCTCGGCGGATGTCGGCACGCGGCGAAAGTCGAATGGTGGCGTCATGACCGTGCTGACCTCTGCGATTGACACGTCCAAATCATCACATCGCGACATGATTCACGCCCACCTCCGCCATGGCGACCAACTCAGCGCTTACGACGGTACCGCCAATATTCAGCTTGCCGGATGAGCTCCTTCAGCTCATTGTCGCATATCTACCACCCGACGAGACCGTAGCCTTCGGCAAAGTATCCAAGCGGAGCAACAAGATCACCTATGAACCACTTGTATGGAGAAGACATTGCATAGAGCGGTGGAAATATTGGGAGAGCCATCATGGACTAGCAGAAAGGCTAGATGCGCCACCAGCGCAGACGAAATGGCAACAGCTGTACTACGAGAGGTCGAAAATCGATCATGAAGTCGTACAAACCTTCAACGAACTGCTCACCACGCAGCAGTTTCGCTATGAACGAATGGAGACAATAGCCCAACATGGATACGATATCAAAGACCTTATGATGGCTCAGCGTGATCAGACTTCAGACGATGCCGAAGACGTACTCTGCAGACGGTACTTCGCGGATGCCGTACTTGGGCAGATCCATCGTACTACAGCTCTAGAAAAGTGGCAAAGGCTACATGATAGGCAGATGGTGCAATTAGAAGAAGTATTGGGCTCCTACGACCTGTTCGTGCTCAGCGATAAAAAAGGCGATCTAAGCGATATTGATCGCGAACTGGATCGCCTGGCGCAATGCATCCGCGACGCGGATCCCGAGTTCGACGACCTCTCCATTCGAATGAAGGCACTATGCATTGCAAGATACTTAAGATCCGAAAATCTGGTAGGCAATACGAACCAAGAAGACTATCACGCATTGCGAAACAACTTTCTGTCTTGGGCTCTTTTCGAAGAGCCTCACACATCCCTGCCTTTGCAATCCGTGGCCATCTACTGCGCTGTCGCGCGCCGGCTCGAGGTCAATGCCAGACCTTCCAATTATCCGCAGCATGTTCATGCAGTCATCGAAGCTCCACAGAATCTCACCCTTGATGGAAAGCACAAGCTCTTCGTCCAAGATGCTGAGCCAGAGCTGATGCACATGGACCCATGGCGAACGGATGAAGAAGTATCCCAGGATCAACTGCGCCTGCGACTCTTGCAGATGGGTGTGCCAAGCACACAACACATGCATCATTTAGGCGCCAGTTCGACTATTGAGATGGCGCTTCGCACCGGGCGCAACATCATGACCTCCGTACAAGAGGCTCGAGAGCGCCAACGTAATACATCGTCTCGTAACCGAGGTCCAGACATCGAAGCCGCATGGTACAGCATGCTTTGGTCCATGCTTGTGCTCGGTAGTTCCAACGCTGCCTCTGACCTTCACAGACGACGGCAATGTCTGCCGTACCTCATCGAGCACTTCCAAAAGCACTATCCGGAAGACATCAACTTGGTGGAGAAGCACATTCCTTCCATGTTTGAGGGAGAGCGCGAACACACTATTCTTCTACACCTAATCACGACAGCGCGTAAAGCAGACCAAAACAAGAAAGCTCCATCGCCACGAGATAAGAGTACGGAGAATGTCGCGTACAAAATTGGGCACCACTTCAGACACAAGAGGTACGGGTATGAGGGCGTTATCATTGGGTGGAACATGCGCTGCACAGCGGAACAAAGATGGATCGAGCAGATGCGAGTCGATGATCTACCGCGAGGCAGAGAGCAGCCTTTCTACAATGCAGTGTACGGCTCGCCAAAGTCGCCTCCTCGCAAGGCCTACTACACGGTCTTATGCGTATACCCTGCTGACTATACCATTAGGGCCAACGACAAGAGCACCCGCTACGTTGCGGAGGAGAACATCGAAGTGTGCAAAGTGGGCGAAAAGCCGAGCGAAGAGCTACTGAGGCTGGCCGGTCGCTATTTCAAAAGATGGGATGCCGAGCACAACATCTTCGTGTCAAACATCAAGGACGAGTTCCCAGACGATTAATGGGAGCAGTCCTGTCGCGGCAACGTAGAAGAAGCACGAAGACGTCACATCAAGTCTTCTCACATTCTTTTTTTGGTGTTGATGACTCTCCTGCTCGCTGCTACCGAGCACCACTCGGCCTCCCTTGTCTGCCCAGACCAGCCATGTACTTGCAGAAAGAAGGATACCGCATGTCGGGGCGAATGTTGCCGTAGACAAGGACGAAGAGCCTGGCCAGTGGCCACATGCAAGTCTACATGCTCCTCCACGGCCAGGCGAGGATTTCCGAGGCATGAGATCTGCAAAGATGTTTGCAGAACACCGCTGGCCGACCACAGTATCGAATCCACAGCAAATATGCAGATGGCTGCATTCGGAGACGAGCAGCATCACTACCACATCACCTTCAAGGGTCCAAAAGGTTCGGCTTGGCGCCCGCTGCCGATCCCTTCTACATATGCACACGGCCGGCGGCTCCATCCGTGGCGGCTCTAGAAAAACGGGCCCTTCTCGAGCACTTCATCATCACATATGCATCGTCATTATCATCTGCATCTTGATTCTGTGCCCGGCTGGACGTCCGCCAGTCGGATACAAGCAGGCGGGCCCAGCTTTTTCGGCCTACTCCGGGAATGGCGCCGAAATACCAAGGGACGAAGACTGACAGACGAAGACGAGGGCGCTATTATGTCAAATATAAATTCACTGGAAGCACGGAATCATTCGAAGTGGCAGCTCTCCCGAACAAAGTCATATGACTAACAGAATTGAGCCTCGGAATGCCATCAGGCAATGAAGCACGCCAGAAGAGAGTGACAGTGAGAGCTGCTTGTGAGGAGTGTAGGCTTCGAAAGACAAAGGCAGGACGGCCAATGCGACACGATTAGCATGTGAATGGTTCACTGACCAGTTCGTAGTGCGACGGTGTAAGACCGGCTTGCGGGCGCTGCGAGCACAGACGACAACCTTGCGTCTACAGCACAGAACCAGAAGAGAGTCGCAACGAAGCACTGCGCAGGGTCTGGCAAGAACGCGAAGAGCAACACGGCAACCTTTTATCGATCTTGAACCTTCTTCGATCAGGGACCGAGCAGCAAGCACTCATCACCTTGCAGCGCATTCGCTCGGGAACAAGTATTCCTTCGATCGCGTCACCCGCGACGCCGTCCGAGGTTCAATCTATCGAAAGCCTGCGACAGCTCCGCAGCAGCGCGCAGGCCTTGATGTCGAACACTTCGACCGGCTCCCCTAGCAGCGTCACGTCTCCAGTCTCCGAAGGTTCGGTTACTGGACCCAGCACCCACTCCAGAGCTGATTCCGAATCGTCATCGGGCTCTAGAATGGTGCAATGCTCTACTGGATCTCGAGACGGCAAGAATGATCGACTGACGCTGGGCTACATCATCAACGAGGGCGCGCCCGAGTCTTATGCACCATCCACAAATGCAGCAGGCGCAGCATCAAGCAACGATCAATGCACATCATTCAGTTCGGCAAACGAGCGCGTCTGATGTGGATTCCATCGCACGCCAGACGTCGAATACATCTGGGCCTTGCACCATGACGCTCAGGAATGCCAACTCTCTGCCAACGCACGGTAGTACAAGGCCAAGCGGTTAACCTGTCTCTGCTCATGACTTTGCTGGCCCAGAAGACGAGCCGCCAGGCAGTGCTGCAGGTCCCGACTGGAGCAAGTTTTACAGCCAGCTTTTTGGCGGGTGCTTTGCGGATAGATGTCTACTGGCGCGCTTAACGACCCTCGTTGAGGAGATGTCACAACGTTTGCCAATCACTTGTCTGGATCGGCCACTTACAGCAAGCACAATATACATTTAGCCTCATCACATACCACAAGAACGGGCAGTGATGGGCGTCATTTTGTATAGCAGCAGCGGTTCGGTTGCGCAGTGAACCAAACGCAAGATCGCGGACCGCCTCATCAAGGATCGGGTTACTGTTTGGCTTGGTGCGGGACAGCGGTGGGTGAAATTGTACAACTGAGTATAGATGCGCCGCTCATGCACTAAAACGGCACCTGTAGGGATGCTGTCGGGGCAAGGGTCGTGGCAAATGAAATGAAAGCAGGTGAGTAGCCCGGTCATGCGCCCCAAGCGGTTGCATGTATCGTACAAGGCATTTGCCACCATCACTTCCACTCTGCTTCTGGACTCAAAATGAACATTTTTCTAGCTTCTCAAATTCGGCATCTCTCAGAGCTTATATCAGCGCCTCGTGCCGTTCTTATTGGGTTAGGCAGCATGTTAGCAAGCGCTAACTCTTGTCATAGGACCCAGATCATGCAGTACTTTCCAAATGTGCCTTAGGCCTATTACCATACATCCACGCCGCGCTGGTTGGAATTCTCGCCAGTTATATGATTCTAGAGAAACTCCTTCGCCATGGCACTCCGACTTGGTCCAGAGATTCAGCACGCGAGCATGCACTGATAGATTGCGAAAGACCTCGACAACATCCTTCTCAACCTCACTGCTTCTGGGCCATTCTGCTTGGCATTCTGTCGATTGTTGGAACAACAACTCAGGTAGCTTCTTTGACCCTTCAACCTGGTCTTACAACACTCCCCACTCTCGTGTCCTGGGTATGTCCGGAGCTCACCTACGATCTTCTGTGGAATTCGCGCTGATGCTGTTCTTAGATTCTCCTCGTGCTCATTCTTGCTGCGAAACGACCGCGTACATGCCCAACGAACCTTCTCCTATCCTACATAACTGCGTTGTTTATCCACGTGGCATTCTGCGTAACGCCCACACTGACGAGCGACACTGTTCGGTATTGCCATGGAATTTCAGGTGTAGCAAGCGGGATGTCTCTCCTTGGTATGCTTCTTATGCCTTACCCTCCGTCCCCACTGCTTGACAAGGAATCATCATCACTAGGAACAGACCCCGGCAAATCTCTGCGCGGTCCGGAGGAGAACCTGACCATGATCCAATTTCTCACTGTATCTTGGATGAATCCCATCATTTCTCTTGGGAGATGTGGCCGTCTGGATGAATCGTATGTGTGGCAGCAGCCTGTATTGGGTCTCGAGTGCTCGCGAGTATGCGAAAAGTTCAAAGAATTCAGGGGTTCCGTCTTGAGCCGCCTCTGTCAATCCAATGCCGTCGATTTAGTCGTTATAGGCATGCTCGCAATGTTTGAATTAGCTTGCGGTAAGTCGTGACGGTCTTGTATAAGCAAGCATACAAATGGCGAATGTACGATACACTGACGACATGTTTATAGAGGCCATGCTGCCATTGCTCCTCAAGGAAATTCTTCGATCAATGGACACTTCTCCATCTCGCAAAGGTGTGATCTTGACCTACGCACCGATCACATTAGGTGTGCAGTTCGCGAATACGCAAATGGAAATCATTCATGCATGGTATGGCTGGAGATGCTATGAGAGAAGTCGATGTGTGTGTACCATGATGATTTTTGGAAAAGCGCTGTCCAGGAAGAGTACAATTGGTTCTACTGCGCGACAACCAGTCGCCAACTTGTCCGGTCAACCGCAGAGGGTGTCTATTCCGACGGAGTGGAGCAGGTTTGGCAGAATTTTCGGACGTCACTTGCTGGCAGAAGATCGCAAGCCTCACCGGGTTACAACTCCCGGAAAGATCCTGAATCCTTTCAGAGGAGACGCGTATGCAATCTCGCAACGCTTCTGGGAGTTTGATCAACTCCTCAAGGCGCCCATCGGCATTGTTATTGCCGCAGCCTTGGTCTGGCAGCTTCTTGGGCCAGCTTGCTACCTAGGCATCCTATCCCTCGTCGTCTCCCAGGTCGGGAGCGCCCTACTGATAAGGACTTTAGTTCAGTACGAGCGCCAGAGGAAATTGGCTACCGACGAACAACTCCAGCAATCATCTCCATTTCTAGAAAGCATTCGACATTTGCGTTGGTACAACTGGCAAAACCACTGGCTAGAACAAGTACAATCAGCGCGAAGCAAAGAACTTTTCGCGCGGCTGAAATTCGCACTCCTACAAGCAACGAACCGATTCATCAACGTTTTGTCCAGCTCGCTTCTGCCAGTCCTCGCCTTTTTTGCCTACACCAAATTCGCGCATCGTCCTCTCACTGTGGACTTGATGGATGAGGCTACTGCGTCGCTGGACGCGGAGAGTGGGAGTCGAGTCCAGGAGATCTTGAAGCGGGAATGGCAGGGGATAACAAGAATTACGATCGCACACCGTGTTGAGGCGGTGAAAGATGCGGACTTTGAGATTTGTCTGAGTCGGGGGGAAGTGGAAAGGGCTGGACCATGGGCTTCGGCTATAGAATATACATGTAGCTGCTGCTACACGTGCAGTTTTTGCCTTGTTGCGAGTACGTTCCCGAGCGTTACTGCATGGCGACTCGGCAAGATTAGGCTTATGCATCTGGCATGCTCTCAAAAATACTTCCGAGGGACAGGGCGTAGGCTTCCCGGCGCGAGCGATAGATGATCGTCGTCTTCATGATGTTTTCTGTCCAGCTCTTCCACGTCTATGGTCAGTAGTTGGCTTCTCGCGCTGGTAGGCGGGTGGGTTGCAAAACATCGACGATGTGGTTACTGCGTTGGAGAGTTGTGGTCCAATTGATGTGGCACCATCCCTCCGTTACAACCCGCGATCAGGCACTAGTGACCTGCTGTACCCACATTGGATCCTTCGTGGAGATCATTGTGACGCAGGAGAGCATGTGATGATCGGCAGGGTGGTGGGGGTGGAGGGGTAATGGGAGTGGAGGGGCAACATCGATCAGTATGACTTGGTGAAGGTGATGGCGAGCAAACGTGGTCAAATGGGCGAACACGAGCATGAGAAGAATGGAACAGATTGGCACAGCTGAATAATTCACAGGAAGCAATTTGATTCTGGGGTATTTAACAACTCGTCGTCTCCTAGGACGGAAAGAAGTCTGCCGTAAAACTCATAATCCCATCGTGACAAAGGCTGGGATGGATGTTAGATCTGGTACAGCAGGCTTTGTGGCAAGAATGGACATACTCATGTCATTCCATGCTCAGGTTCCATGCTCAGGTGTACTCAATTGCACGCCCTTAGATGGACTCCTTGTTTGCCTTAGCAGAAGTCTCATGCTTGGTCTGGTCGAGCTTGTCGCCAACGGCACCGGCGGCACCAGAGATGCGGTCGCCGATGGTGTTGTTTGGTGTGTTGCCCTTGGCCTGCTCCTTGTTGGCCTCCTTGCTGGCCTCCTTGGACTTGCCCTGGACAGTCTCAGAGACGTAGTTGGCGGCGTTCTGGATGGAGTTGCCGAGCTGGCCGACGATGCCCTCGTTTGGCTTGTCAGCGTTTGGTGCAGACATGTTGGTGGTTGGGTTGGTTTGGTGTGAGGTTGGGTTGGTGTGGTTTGGGTTGGTGTGAGGTTGCTTGAGTGTCTTGGGGTGTGTGTCTTTGTCGGTGACTGAGGTAGAAGAAGAGGTGTGAAGACTTCTTATAACAGTTGCTTGGGCAGCCGGTAGCTGTTTGCGTCGCAGAAGGCATGCACGCACGTCATGCCAGCGTCACAGGCATGCACGTGCCTCCGGTGGAGCAGGCGCCACACTTCACTGACGCCTCACATTTGGTCAGAAGGCCAGCTTTGTTCGCGGCTTTTTTGCAGATGCGTCATTGGTCTGCGGTCTGCTGGCCAAGTTTTGCGGAAACATGATATCATTTCTGGTTACGTTCCATGGTGCGCACGAGAACGGAGCCAATAGGCCTAGAACGGAAGGAGAGCTGGGACATTGGGAAGGGGCGCCGCCTCCAAGACTCTGCCATTGCCTCGATATGGCACTGTGGCTTCCAATCTGATGAGGCAATAATAATTACTGCCAGCTATCTCTACCATCTTCTGCAGGCGCGATGGCGCGAGGGCGCGAGCACTCATGCGCTCACTGGGCTCCGGTCTGTCGCCTTTCGCCTTCTCACGTGCCATCTCTTACACTTGTCCCTGAGGTGTAGCACGGAAGCTCTGATCTGAGCTGCAACGTTGATGAAGACATCGCGATCGATTCGAAGCAGGGAGATACCATGTGTGGGTACTGGAACGTGCAGCCGTCGCATCTAGACTGCCGAATCTGGCACAGAGGGAACATTTGCGTTGTAGAGCATGTTGTACAATTTTCACTGCGAGACTGGAGAGGGAGAGGGAGAGGGAGAGGGAGAGGGAGAGGGAGCATGCGAGTGCTGTCTCCAGAGTCCACGATGAGATCCCGCCCACTTCCCGATCCATGCAATCTTCCGCCAAACGAATCGAGCCTTCCCTTCGCCCTCACCCACGTCCACCTACAGCTTGGTATAATGCCTGAACCGTTCGTTGTTTCTTACCCATTTGGTGGCCCTGCGCAACACTCAGACTAGATCAATTACAAGGTAGCCAGATTCGGATTCTTATTACTGCAGTTTGATTGGAAGCGGCAGTTGCATGCCAACACTAATGAGAATTCTGCTCTATGACCACCGCCATTATTCTTTACTTAGGTGTGCACTCCTTCATGGTCCATCAGCCTTTCGATCAGATGCCCGACACAATAATCAGTGCAGACATATAGTAACGCCACCACATCCACGAGCAGATGACGCTCAATCACTGGCAGCAAGGGCATAACATACCCGCAGTCTATTCGTGTGTATATAGGTTTTGCATGTATCGCAGCCCAAGCCTCATGATTGACACTTGTTTCCCTGCTCTTGCCATTCGAGTCACCTTTGGCCCTGTGATCCAATGTGACCGACCGCCACTTCCAACAACAAGGCGATGTATGCATTGCTTTCAATCATGCTGTAGTCCGGTAGGTTTCCTTCAGGAGAGGGACAAGATGGTACGTCGAGCGACGGCGATCGACGATCCGTTCTTCCATTCTTTTCTGCCCCGCGAGGACGACCTCGTTGCGTAAGACGGTTCCCGCTCTATCCCCTTAACCGCCTCCGTGGTTAAGTCCGTCGAACACCTACCCTAGCAATCCCCTTGTTAGGTTCCACTTTCTATGCTAAATCCGGTGTAGCCCTATATAAAACTGTATCGCCCCTCGAATAGCGATCGTGTCCAATTAGAGCTCGGATTTAGCCGTAGTAGAGCTTAAGGTTAAGAAGCCGACACTCTTACGAGTCGTCGCTAGTAAAGGTTCTATAGTCTAAACTCTACTAAGTAAAGGTATAGAAGGTATAGAAGAAGGTATATAATAGAAGCGCTAAGTATACTATTAAGATAGATATATAGACTATATAGACTATAGATTAAGACCTTCTAATAACTAATTAGCTACTAACTAAGTTTCGGCTATCTTATATACGCCGTCGACTAAGTCGCTATAAGCTTAGTAAAAAGATACTTCTAGTACTAATTAAACCGCCGAGTCTACTTAAGAAGTAGTTTAATATTAGTCTACTTATAGTAAAGGTTAACCGCCTCGTAAAGGTAGTAAGGGACTTAAGAGTAGACGTAAACCTTCTATAGAAGAAGGAGGTTAAGGAGTCGCTAGTAGTAGCTACTACTAAAGAAGGCTCTCGAAGTAAGGTAATAGTTATTAAAAGGGCGGAGTTTAAAGTACTATAAGAAAATAGGTATATAGCAACGTATAGAACACCCTCTACTAATCGCCGTAGTAGAAAGTAGAACTAAACCGTACCTTTTTTAGAATAGGGCAGAGTGTTTACTATTAACTAGGCTACGTACAAATAGTATATATACTAAGCTAGTAACCGAGTATATCCGTACGAGCGACCGAGCTTTTCCGCGTATACGCTAAGTAGGCTTTACGCTAGCGAGACAGCACCGCAGTATACGTAATAATATTATATAATTGTTATATAGGCTTGCTAAGGCATAATAGGAGACTTTACTTACTTAGGTTCTTATAATTATCTCCTTTCCCTAGTATAGCTATCCTAGCTATAGGGTAATATAGTAAATTATACTATTTCTTATACTCTACGCTATACTTGCGCGTCTTATACGTACTTGTCGCTAGGCTATAGTTGCTAGGCACGTTATAATTTACCTCGTAGTTGCTTGTTTATTTATAGATTTAAAGCGCGGCTACTTCTAGTACTAACTAGAGGTTGCCTAAATTTCTAAGAACGCGGTAGCTACGCGAGAACGCAAGCTATCCGAAAGCGAGGCGAGTATTTAAAGCATTCGAAGCCCGCTTAAAAACTTCTTCTTTTTCTAAGCGCTCCGAATACTATACGCCTACGCCCCGCCTACTCTACCCTTACGCCCTTCTAGTATTACTTAAAGATTTTTCTTTTTTAAATATCTATCTAAAAAAACATTACTAGTATGTCTACCCCTTCGCGTACCTTAGGTAAGCGCGCTATAGGCGTACCGCCCTCGATACCTACTACGCCTGCCTAGCGCCTACTAAAAGTCTTAGAGGGCTATACTCGTTACTTTAGGCATATAATAGCTAACGGTACGTTTTCTCGCCCTTTGCTACGTATACGCGCTTTGCAACTAACTCGCTTTAGACGACCTATCTAAGCTCTATATAGGCGGCAATATAGACCCTACTACTAAGCGTAACTATAATCGCTGCTATAGCAGCTATTATACCTATACTCCTATTATAGTATACGCGCTCGTAGCGCTACTAGCGCGCATTCGCGCTATATACGCTATGCGCGACCTTTACGATCTAGACGGCTACGACTCCGTCGAGGAGTCTAACGAGGGGTGACACGTGGACGAGGCTAACTTAGACGCTATAGTCGTACGTAGGTTTCTTATACGCTCTACTTACGCTTCGTATACTAACCTCGATATTAGTTATCCTATCTACGCTCGATACCTTCTATATTAATAAGAATAAAGTAACCCTAGGCGGCAAAGCCCTAGCTCGCAAGGGGGCCGCTAGCGGGTCCCTTACGGACGTTAACCTCCTTAGTGCCCTCGAAAACATTAGCACTAACTTAGCTAGCTTAGTAAAGATCGGTCGTTAGGTATAGTTTTTTCCTATAGCCTCGTCTTACCTACGCTTTATATACTAACTATACTAGAACCTCGCTTAGCGCGTCGGCGCTAACGCTATCGCTACTATCGATATCGCTATAGGTATTAAGGCCGAGGACGAAGAGGAGGAGTCTAAGGATAAGTAGAGTAGGCGGCCCGCCGTCGGCGCGCCTATACGGCGCCTTCTTTATATATACTAGGCTAATAGGCCTTTTTTTAGTAGCGAAACGAGCACGTGTCTACTATTTTTCTTAAGTTTTATTTTCTTTGGTTTTAATTACTGCCTGCGCTTACGCTTCGCTTAAGCTTCGAACTCGTCTAACGCTATAGAATCTTTAATATAAATAGCTAGCTCCTAAGTGTTGTATTCTTTAGGCTAACTTCGCTGCTTAGTAAGGTAGTACGCCTTCCGCTTCTTTATCTTCTTTACTACGATTGTTTCTACCTACTACTTATTACCTTTAGCGACGGGTATGCTTATCTTATACTCCTCGCTATCGCGCCTATACTAAGGCTCGAGAAGGGAAACATAGAAAACATTATAGATCTTCGTGCTTAACGGCAGTGCTAGGCGGTACGCCTACGCTCTAACTACGTTAATAATACGGAAAGGCCCTATATACTTTAGGCTAAGTTTCTTCTTTAGGACATCTAAGCTAATGTTCTTTATCGATAGTAAGACTAAGTTACCTATACTATGTATCTTAGTAGTATAGTATGCATTGTATTGCTTAGCCTAGTATTCTACTGCTTTCTACTAGCGTTTCGTAAGCGTTTTATATACTTGTCGTAGTCGCTCCGTAGCGTTAATAGCTACTAGTGCCCTTCCCTTAGTTAGCTCGTCCCGAGCTAGCAGCTTATTTACGCTTAGCATTAAATTAGGGTTGAAGCCGTAGAGTATCTTAAAGGGGCTTATACGTAACGTAGAATAAACGCTATTATTATAGGCAAACTCCGCCTAAGGCAATAGTTTAGCCTACTTATCCTAATTCTTAGAGCAATAGCATCGTAGGTATTACTTAAGGGTCTAGTTCGCGCGTTCGGTTTGCCTATTAGTCTAAGGATAGAAGGCTATACTAAGCCTGCGCTTTATATACGCTTCGAAGCAGAAGTCGCTCTAAAACTAGCTAGTAAAAAGCGATCTACAATCGCTAATAATGCCCGATAGCACTCTAAAACGCCTAATTACCTCCTTTTAAAGGATATCCGCGAGTTCTACTACTATATACTTCTTCGTCGTTAGGATAAAAAGGCTTATTTTCGTATAGCGGTCGACTATTACGAGGATCGTAGTATATATATAGGCACCGAGCTTGCTCGGCGGGAGATTAGTAATAAAGTCTATCGTTAATTCTTGCTATAGTCGGGTTAGTATAGGCAGCGTAGCGAGCTCGCTATATAGGCGATAGCGCTTTGCCTTCGACTATTAACAAATTCTATAAGTACGAATATAGGCCGTAAT